GAACAACAGTTAATTACAAAACAGACACCACATTTGAGAATACACTATACTGATATATTAAACAAAATTAAAATTTAGTAAAAATGAAATTTCAGCTACATAAAAAATAAACATTTAATAACAATAGTAAAAAATAAATTGTCATATCCAAAGGTCAATTATATTCACCATAGCAGACACCCAATAATTGGTCTACAGGCATGATGATGCTCTGAATATTATATACTATAATTTGTTATAACATGCATTTAGAACCTGACAATGGAGCACTTAAGGTAATTACAAATTTAATTTAATAACTCAATTCTAACATGTATTATATTTAACTCATTTTTAGCCATGAATCGACCAAGAAACATGGAATTGTAGTTCTGAAGATGGGAGTAAATTTCCCGAAACGTAAATATGTAAACTTGTAAATACAACAAATAAATCAATTGTTGTTTAATTGGGAGTTATTATTGACAAAAATAGAGAACTATAATCCTATTTTCAGCCTATAAATCTATTTTAAAAATTCTTATAATAATGAAACTGATATGATCAATAAGTATTACGTTAAAGTAAAATAAAATACATTAAATTTATACGGATAGTAGTCACACTGGTTACGTTTTCATACAGAATCCCTATTCCTGATCTTAATTGGATGGATGAAAAAATTGATAGTCTTCAGGCAGCTCTTTTATGCCTCAAGATTACAAATGAACTGATTCACAATAAAACCTTTTAAAGCCCTCTCCCGTCATATTAAATTAACTGTGTAGTCAGAAAATCCGGTGACACTCGCTACATTTTTCACTAAATCTTGGGAACAAATCTACTATCCTACGTTGCACACAAAGCATTTATGATCATTTAAATAATCATCTATAATATAAAAAAAAGATTTATAGCAATGAGATTTTCCATTGTTTAATATTAACCGATACAGAATGTTACATTTCAAGGCATGAAGAACTTCGCATTCTCACGTTGGGGGTAGTAATACTTTTTACCTTTTCTGCATTACTACTCCATTTCTTAGAAAAAATAATTCTGTACCATAATTTTTTAACCTAAAAAAAGTAAAAATTCTGGACAACAAATATCCAAATAATATAAGAATGAACCATGTGGCTAAACGTCTGCACCTCGGACAAAAGTAGAAAGACGTAAATCTGATTCTTATGCAAATTCGTGCCATACTTTTGGTTAAGCAAGTTTAGGTTTGTTTAAATTAACTCAATTTTTCGAAACTTTCTTGAACCTATCTAAAAACTATCTCGTGCATTTAAATAAAAACGTTGCCATAGGAGTGAATTTGTTTTTGATCCAAAAATTGTAGAGAAATTTTATATCACTTCTCTCCCCCTCCAACGAAAAAAGCTTACAGTGATACATGTACCCAATATCACTCTGCTATAAATGTACATCTTCGCTAAGTACCTTTGCGTTTTAGTAGATTAAATACGTAATATTTTTTTATAGTGAGCAAGTAACTACTTTCTACATTTCTTCCTTTAGAAAACTTAACTTGCTTGTGCTACCAATTACTTGATGACTACTATAAATTAAAAGTGGCCATTTAGGCCATTAAAAATGGCGAATGTGCATTGAGTTCGTTTGTTTGAAGAAAGAAAGGCTACTGTGTTATTTTCTCAACGTATACTAATATTACTAATTACAGTCACAAATACTTTTTAACAATAGGGTTGTTCCCCACTCCCTGCGCCCAAGTGTGACAGAATACGCCCTCCTTCCAATAAATTTGAATTGTAAGTTGTCGAAATATTATCGAGTGCAGAAAATTAAATAGAAACGCTTAATTTTGTATTTTTACTTTTATAGCTAATTAAACAAATATCAATATTGATTTCTTCATTCTCTTGAGTATACCGAAATAATTTTGACATATTTTAGTCCAAAATAGTTAAACAAAGTCATAATTATTCTTTTTTTTTAACTATATTTTTTTGTTTTCCAACTCTAAATCGGTATTACGTATCTAAATATTTTTTTTGATAAATAAATAAATTAATATTTATTTAAATTATCACTATTTAATTCCCATTAATATTTTTCTCTTTTTTATTGCTTACATTCTTCAGGTTCTGTATGATATTATTTGCCTTCAGCCCTGAGTACGGCTTTTCTTAAAGTCTCTTTTATTTCATTTTATTATTTTTATTTATTTTTTCTAATCTGATTATTACGGTACCTCATCAGCTGATCATTGATAATTGTAATTAACTGAGTGATTGCAAAATAAAAGTGAAACCAAATTATGTAACATTTTAATACATAAATGAAGTTACAATACTAATATGCCATGATATAATTTAAAGAAAAAATCTCAGCAATATAAAAATAAAAATTTGAAGCAAAAAATGTTTATCTATATATCTTTTGTCTATATTTATATCCATATAATTTTGATCTATATTTGTTTATGTGATAGATCTGAGCTAAATATTAAACCGATTACAATATTACAGTTATACCATTATATTATACCATTTACAGTTACAAATGTAAACACGTACTAAGAAAAAAAATATAGTAATTTTATATCAATTTTTTTTTATTTAACGGACCATCAAGAATCACCTAAACATCATTTCCAGTAGTTTCTTTCATTCTCTTCCAGAGTTATTATCATTAAAAAAATAAATAAATTAGCTGCCGTATGAATGCAAACAGTTGTGAGCATTAGCCTTTGTATGAATTCATTAGTTGTCTACTGTTTTCAAAATGTGGTGTTGTATATTTTATTGTCCATTGGCTATCCATTCCTAAATTTCATTTACTCTTCAGATTTCTCTTTTCCTATAACATTAGCATTGGTTATAATCAAGGCTGAGATTTTTATGCAGTAAAAACCTCAAAAATATACCATATAATATGCAGTAAAAATCCTGAAATTTATAGTAAATAAAACATAAAGAACTCACTGTTCACTTAATATGCTAAACTTACTAATTACTTGAATTTTTGAAAAAATTTTGAAAAAAAATTATGGAGCAATTACAATATCTTTTTAAATATCTAAACTAAAGGATGTAAAATAAGGTTAAAATATAAATATATACATTATAATGGTCAAAAACATAACATGAATCATATAAAAAAAAATTAAAATATAAAAATAATACATTTTTCTAAGGTTAAGGCAAATATACTTCCATTTTTCTTTATTTTTTTATTTTTTTTAATTACATCTATTACATCTGACATTTCGGGACAATTTTCCCATCCTCATAGAATTCCTTGTGTTTACTTGCTTTTGTGATGTGGTACCAGCAATAATTGTCAAATCTTTTTTTTTTTTTTTTTTTTTTTTTTTTTTTTTTTTTTTTTTTTTTTTTTTTTATATAATTGATAACAGTATGTCATGTTGTATTGAGTTTTATATGTTATGTTATAATATATTGTTGAGTTTAAAAATAAAAATTAGATACATTATAAACTGATTCAATTAATACTGAATAAAATTTTGTAATAATTATGGAATGAAACAAAGATTATTTTGTGGAATATTATAACCAAGGCCCGAATTTGTATGCATTTTGTTGAAACATTAACATAGTTTACAACTTGAGGAATAAATAGCGTAAAATAGATAAAATATTTGAATTAGTCTGTTTCGCAGACACGTTCTGCATTAAAATTAATCACCAGATGCATTTTTAAATTTGCTTCTTCCGAACTGTTTATCATAGTGTAGAAATGGTTGACCATCATTATAATATGCGAAGGAGTTGGTTGGGGGTGCGGTCAAATAAACTAATAAAATACTATTTTAATATATAATATTTATTAGACCTCAGCCCCGAACAACTTCTCACAAAACCATTTATTATTTAAAATACTTTTATAATTATAAAATTATCTTTCTACAATAAATCTTTCAACAGCCATGATAGGGGCAAATTTATATGCACTTAAAATTACTGGGTTGATGTCAATGTACCTGGGGACAATTGAATATTCACCATTTAAAAGGGACATGATTTTTTTAATAGAAACTTCCATTTTTTCAACTTGGCCTTGTACCACTGGTTTTCCATCAGTTTTGAAAACTGTTTCATGTCTGTTGTAAGGTTCAATTCAAAATTTCAATTTTGATGAAAATGGTGAACTTACTTTGAACATTTTAAATAAACAGAAATATGTTCTCTTGCAAAGAACACAGGCATCAAACTCAAATAGAAACTTAGAATGATGTTTAAATGGGGCAAGAAGGGGAAATGGATTTCTGAGAATTGGTAAACATATATAAAGAGAATTATTGAAGGGATAGCAGAAAGTTGGTATAAAGTCTACAAATGTGGCAGATTTTGTAACTTCATAAACCTATGATTGTAATCTTGAATTTCATCATCAATGTTGCATTTTAATTTGAGTTTATAGATAATTAAATATTTCTTTACATACATATGTATTGTTTATTTCATTAAATTGATCAAAGTATGCAATCATATGCATTTATCCTCAAATATGCAAAATAAAATTTGGCTAATTGCATCTCCGTGCTCTAATTGGTATAGTTATTTCGTCAGCGGTTAAAAACAATCACACAAAACAAAATATGCAATTGCATAAAAATCTGGGCCTTGGTTATAATATTTCACAAATTAAACTTTGTTTCATTCCATAATTATTACAAAATCTTATTCAGCATTAATTGAATTAGTTTATAATGTATCTAATTTTTATTTTTAAACTCAATATATTATAACTTAATATATAAAACTCAAGATAGCATGAAATACTGCTTTTTCGATAAATGTCATAATTTGGTGAATAAACTTAACTTCCTTTTACATGGTTTTTGATTTATTGATTAGATACCTTATGTAGCCTAGCAACTGTCATTGTTTTTCTTTTACCAAGAGAACATTTCTTTTCTTTGTAAATATCATCATCTTTAACTGTTATGAAATTACTATTGTTAAATTAATTATTATTCCTAATAATATAAATATTTAAATATTCATTATTGCTTTGTTTATTTTCAGATCTCTGGTGAAGAGTTGTCGATTTATTAAAAAGAAGAAAAGTCTGCAGGTGGTCGTGAGGTTTGCTTAGATGCTGACCTTACGACTTGTGTCAACTCATTTCTTAAAGCAGCCATAAATTGAGAGAAAGATGTGTCGAGACAGGGATATGAATCCATAACAACCTAAAGAAATATATTTTTTTTTTATTGCAATATCAATAATTTGCACTCATATTTACATGTTTAACAGAGTGCCAGTAAATTATCTATTTTGAAAGACAAACTCAAGATTCCCTATTAACATACAAACAAAAAATTTATTCAATAATTAAATATTAATAATTCTCTTTAACTGACTAATTATCTGAAACAGCTTATCCTTTCCTGACGTACATGCATATTAATAACAATTGCCAGTTCATAAAAATAAGACTTGAAGAAGATTTCTGAGAAAAAGAAGATATAAGAAAGAGAAAAAGAAGATATACGAAAGAAATTTCAACAAAAAAAATTAAAAAAATTCATCATACAACAGACATTTGATCTACCAATCTGTGGAACATAGCAAAGGAGTGTATTGTAAGTTTGAGTACATTTACGATATTTTATTTTTATTAGCACCTTCTCTTTGTGGATCTTATGTTTTTCTAAACTAGTTTTTTTTCTATAGCATTTGACTATTACTAAAATATTTATATACTATTAATAAAACATTTATACCTCCTTTATTTAATTTAACCTCATTAAATACCACAATTTCAATCATGGAATTTTGTTTTATTTTTTGCATGAATTTCATGAATGCATATATTACAAATTTTAAAATGAATTCCTTAAAAATATATATGTATATATTCAAATTATTAACTTTTTTTCACATTAATCTTCCTTAGTTCCATTCATCATTATGCATGCCTTTTACTGAATTAAAAATTAACAAAACTATTAAAAGTTGCTTTTATTCTTTATTTTATTTTTTGATAGAACTTTTCATTTTATTTTCTCTTTTTTTGTTTTTTGCAGTATTACAACTTTATTTTTGGCTTTGGTCAACGCTTTTTGTTTGCTTCGCAACTTCATCTTATGAGGTACATCATAAAACATGGCATCAATTTCGTAGAATTAGAGTAGAAACAATTTTGCATTGTGAATTTCTAACACTTAATTCCTAAGTTTTTTTTCTTTTTCTTTCATTTCACATTCAAAGTTTATAGTTCCCTTCAATTATTTTAGTATATTTTTTATTTATTTTTTTATGTACCACCCTTTTTTGTTCATAGATTCTCTATGTTTTCTAATAATCTTATATTAAGGGATACATTTATATTTCTGATTAAATTTTGGCAGTTTATCTTGCATTGGATCTAATATTGTATTTATTTTGTGAAAACTTCATTGAAGCTTAAATGATTCTGAACAGTCGGCTCATTAACTTAGTTATATATTTCTAAGTCTTTATTTATTTATTTATTTTTTTTTAGTTTTTCATGTTTATCAGAAAACTGATTCTCTACAATTCTCTTATTTCAGTGTGGGTGGGGTGGGGGATTTACTTGCTGTGACATCATGAGGAGACCAAATCTTTGTAACAACTCAGTTACTGTCGCTGACGATTCGTACAAACCTACACAAAAAAATAAGGTAAATTTATATTCTAACAATATAATATTAATGATTGCTAAATCATCTCATATTAAATCAGGAAATAGTAGTTAAGAGCGTAATTTTAATTTTGAAATCTAAACATGGGCCAGTTCATTTGTCATGTTAATGATAAAACCTTTTGATATAAACTATGTAATAAAACTGCATGCTTTTATCACATATTATAATTATTAAAATTAGTTATAAACTAATTTGTATTGTAGATGTTCATTACTCATCAGATCATCCAGCAAATTATTATTCCTTCATTTCAAATCTTTGGTGTTCTATCTAAAAATCTGATTTGTTTGAAACAGAAAATTGGATGAAAAATTCCTTTTAGAAATTGTTTTTCTTTCTGAAACTCCAGCTTTTTTAATGTTAAATTTTCAACAACAAACAAACCTTTTTTATTCAAAGATTTGTATAAAAGCCAGATTGCAACTATCCTATTGTTTCCATATTATCTCAAAAACTGACTTTTAAAGTTTACACAACTAGACTTAAATAATGACTAGACGAAATAATGAAATGTTATGACAGTGATAAAAATTATTGTATTATTGTTACAATTATAGTGGTTTCAATTTGTATTTATGTTTTCAAATAGAGTTGTGTTACTCTTATAAGTATTTACTTTGTGTACACTTTTCCTTTCATTAACAAATAGGAATTGTTGGTGTTAGTGTTATATTTGTATTTAAAGCATTAAAAAATAAAATAAGAAATATTGAAGTATACTTTGTGTTTTTATTGCAATGGTCAACGAATATCTTATCTTTGAGGGATATCTCAAATCTTATCAGCATTAAATCATCTCAATATAAGTACATTTAAAGCTATTCATCTTTAACAAAAAAAAAAAAAAAAGCATTGACACAACTAATAGGTCTAGATTTGTTATCTTCTGCTGCAGTCTATAATAGAAGTAATCTATAACTACAAAGATAACAGTTGAGGGAATCTTTGGAGAAAAAAGATATGGCCATAAGAATGGTAATGGAATGAAAAAGTAGAAAGTTCATATATTTTTCTTCTCTTGCACTACAAGTACATTGTAGGAGCAGTCCACCAGACCTGAGCGTATTAATGGTTATAAGTTAAAATATTTATTTTTTCATGTTTAGGTATTTTGTTCTGTTTAACTTGAACACAAATGTATTGTAAAGAAACTACAAATTGTTCACTTGTCCAACAGGAAGAAAGTACAAGATTAAGCCTAGTTAGAAGGGTTCTTGGTGGTGGGTCTAAAAAGAAAGAACTTTTCAAGTCCTTCGGAGTTCCTCTTTCAGAACTCAGCCTTTCACCAATGTCTGTACCCGTCGTCCTGCAAAATATCTGCCTCTTCATTGAACTACATGGTAACTAATACATTATTTTTTAATTAATTATTATATGAATAAGTTTCATCATACTTTTAGATAATATGGATTTTTCCATACTCCTCACCCACTATCCTTAAGTATGAAAAAAAAAATGTTTTCTGTTAATGAACAGTAGAATTTCTCATAATTTCAATAAAATCATAAAATAAATGTATATCAGTTCTTTTAATTTGAAAAATCTAATTTTACTTTGATCTAAACTCTTTTTATTTTGATTAAACTTAATTTTTAAATCAATGTTAAATGTAAAATTTTATAAGGTTGATGATATATATATATATATATATATATATATATATATATATATATATATATATATATATATATATATATATATATATATATTTAATTAAAAATAGTGTAAAAATACATTTTAATGAGTTTTAGTAAAATACAACTTTTTCACATAAAAAAATTGTTTATAAGCAAAGTTGTTAATTTTCTCTTCAAATTACTGTTGGAATGAGTTTAAAAAAATTACTTAGTCTATTGACTTGCTTAAACTTCCTATGTTTAAAAGCCTTGGAGAGAAACCAAGAGCCTAAGGGATAATTTTCTCGGTCCTTCATGAAATATTAAATTTACCAATAAAACTCAACCAAAGCCTTTTGTAACATATATTACCAAACTATTACGTAATATATGTAATACTATCTATACTTAGAAGCTTAAGACTAAAACCTCATTGGCCAGGTCCAGGCTGACCCTCCTCTCTCTCCTCTAGACAGCCCTGGCTGTAAGTATCTGTCAGATACATAGCCGGCATGTTTGTCTACTTTTCTTGGCATATAAGAGGGAAAATCCACTTGTATTTGTTTGTTTTTTGGGTGTACACATGTCCCTACTGTAAATTATTAATTTTTTTTTTTCGTTAATTATTTTTCATTTTTGTATTTATTTAAAATAAACACTTATTTATTTTATTGTAATGGCGCTACGGTCCTGAAAGAACCCAGGCCTCCTCCTCTACAGCCAACCAATCTCCCCGGTCTTGTGCTACTTTCCTCCATCTTCGAATAAATAAATACTATCTATTATTATATATTATTTTTATATTAATAAATACTACTTATTAATATATATATTTTTATTTTACAAAGTGATAATTAGTTGGTTTTTTCAATTATGAGCTTTTTAAATGCAGAATTGATGTTAAGCAAAAATAAATCTTGTTAACTGATGTATCATAGCTTTGTTCTGTGAGAAACATGCCCGCCCGTTCTCATCTAACTGGATGGTGTGCCCATTGAAAGGTTAAATAAGATCCAATATATTTCATGAAAATGTTTAATTTTCACTACTATATTTTTGTGAAGTTTTGAGTCTTTTTTCATGCCTATGTCCTTTAGTGAAAAAATAAGTTTAAAAGTACGGACTTATAAAGAGGAGAAGGTGGGTGTTGCCTGTGAAAACAATAATAGATAATTTGAAACAAAATAAAACATAATATAATACAAAAGGTTTGCTGAAAATCGGAGAAAATTAATTTGTAAAAGTTGTTGTTCTATGTATATATTGTATTTCATATAAAAATATTTTTATGTATTGTAATAGTAATAAACTTTTCTGAAAAAAATATTTTCTGTCATGCACCCAATTATTAAAGCTGCTTATGCAAGTTTAATGAATTCATGTTAACAAATTCCAGTACTTAAATATAAACAACACTAATAATATGTAATATACAAACAACTAAAACTCGTTCTATTTTGAACCTGGAAAACTTAGAGGGTCAAGAAAAACAAAATAATTCTAACTTTACTGCTACCTAACTTCTCACCATTTCTAATTATTCTCACTTTGTATTATCTTAAAACTTGTTTGATTTAATTCATTATTTATTTAGTTGTTCGATGTAGCGAATATTAATTTTTGAAAGTTGTGAGTTCATTTCCTAACAAACCACAGTTTCCTTTTAATATAATTTATACCTAAAGAACCTTTGAAATATATACGTATAAAATATATATATATAAATATATGTAGAGAGAAAGTGGAGGGAATAATAGTTATTCTTTAAAATTATTTTAAATTTTATGTATTTCAATGATTGAATCATGGATATCTGTTCATAACATACTATCAAAATTTAAACATTTTTATTGATCACAAAAAATTATAAATATATATTTATAATTTAAAATATTTCTTTCTGTTTTTGAAAATTTAGGATTAAAAGTTGAGGGTCTATGGAGAGGGGTATGCAGTAGCGGACTTGTTGAAGATTTAAAAAATCAATTAAACCGTGACTGTGAGTCTGAAATCGATCCTAACACTGATGTCTCAGCTGTCGCTCTCTTGCTGTTGGTTTGGCTTGGAGACCTGCCGCAACCTTTACTTTCCTATCAAGCCACCAGTGATCTCACAGCATTGATAAAAAGTAAATACTATTATTCAATTATGTAATTTTAGACATTGAAATTCTCAAGAATAATACAGAGAAGAAAACAAATTTAAAACTTCTGATGACAAAACATTTTCTTTAGCATCAGATCATATTTACATAATTACGTAAAAACCTGTTGATATATTTTTTACAATCCTTTTAGGTCGTTCTTTCATCATCTTTAATACTGCAGTGTTAATTAATTAATTGGTCAAGTTCTCTAACATAGCTCTCTAAAATGTATAGTAAGGTAAAGCGCATGATTTATCTTTGAGTCTCTGAGGTGTTTCTGTGTTCTCTGTCTTTGTTTTATAGGGTGAATTTTTTCCTCTGTTATTAGGCAAAATTTACTTGTTTCATTATTTTTTTTAATTTCAACATTAATTCTCATACTCTATTATAATTCGTCACCTCAGTTCAGCGATGGGCCAACACTACTCTGAGTGCTGAGTACCAAATATTTCACTCAAATACTGACCTTTTTCAAATATCAAAGAATTTAATTACTGCTTCAGTTGATGTCAAACGATTAACTGAAGTAGTGATTGAAATCGCTATTGTGATTCCCTTTGAGTAAAATAATTGGTAATCGGTACTCATAGTAGCATTTGCCCATCTCTGCCTCAGTCTACTTCCAGCATGGGATCTTCTCTCTTTCTGAACTTTAAACTCGATCTCACAGAACTCATAGATTCCCTAGGTTGTCTGATTCATCAGTCTCTGGAATTTGATTTCTTGAGTTGACTGCTTCATTATTGTAATTCAAAAAACGCATTTTTCAGTGAAAATGTTCAATTTGTTAGAATGGATCAAAGAACAACTTATTTTTGCAAAACTGCAGAAAAAAAATACATAAGGGACATTAGCAAAGAAATCAAATTGATTTGTATCATCTTTTTATGCAATTGCTTTAAAGTTTGCGTAAATATCTAAATATTGACATTATTCTAATTTTTGTTTTTCAGAACCTCAAGAAATACTATTTAAATATTATTTGAATTTTTCAATATCTTCAGATTGCTAACCACCTTTTATCAAATTTTATGAAAATGGAAATTATTAGCCTAATAAAAGATTAATGATTGCTAAAGGATAAAACTGCTTCAAGCATGTATTTCACTTAATAAAACATATTAAAACTAATATATTTCAAAACAATTTAATTTAGATCCTCAGTAGAAGGAAAAAAAACCTAGGCGTAGGGAGGTGGCGGTCCCATCGCCCGGTCATTGTACCGCAACCAGCCACTGGCCCTCCAGGTTGGGGGAACACTTACACGAACACTCACACACCAAGTACACTTTAGACAGCACACTACAACACCTAAACACTACAGACAAAGGTCACCTACAGTACACACCCTAGGGTCACCTTCCCTAGGTAGCCGCCCCGGATGGGGGAGCTAGTCAGGATGCTCGGAGGAGGCAGCCCCTCTACCTGACTCGGGGGCAGTGGGCTGATAACCCACCCCCCCTAAAGTACCTTATTACGAAACCTCAAAGAGAAGAAGCCGGACTGAATTACGGTAACAGACCCAGGAAACGCCTAAATGACCTAAGAATTGGATTTTGGAACATTTTATCATTACATAGACTAGGAGCACTTCGTGCGCTCCTTGCAGAAGTGGACACATACAGAATCGACATAGCAGCTATCCAAGAGGTCCGATGGATAGGACAGGGAATTATGGAGAAGAAGTACCATACACTCTACTATAGCTGCCATGAAAAGCATCACATCTTCGGTACCGGATTTGTTGTGAGAGGCAGAGCTCGACAGTTAGTGATGCGATTTACTCCCATTAACCAAAGGTTATGCTACATTCGGCTTAGAGGAAAATTTTTTAATTTCTCTCTAATCAACTGCCATGCCCCAACAGAGGTGTCACCTGAGGAGGATAAGGAAGCATTTTATGAAGAACTTGGACGCGTGACAGAAAGCTGCCCCAAAAATGATGTTAAAATCATTCTTGGTGACTTTAACGCACAAGTTGGTAAGGAGGTGGCACTCATGCCGACCATAGGAACCCACAGCTTGCATGAGACCAGTAATGATAATGGGCTACGGATGGTGAACTTTGCTACATTGCACGGACTGGTTGTTGGAACAACTCTTTTTCCTCGAAAGAATATCCACAAAGCAACATGGATCTCTCCAAATGGGCAAACAGCATCACAGATAGACCATGTACTCATTAGTGCCCGTCACAAGTCCAACATGATAAATGCAAGATCTTATAGAGGTGCAAATATGGACACGGATCACTATTTGAGCATTGCCGAGGTCAGATCACGAATTTCGCTGATTAAAAACCACTACCAACGACCAAAGAAGAAGATTGATGTGGTTAAACTTAAGGACTCAGACCACCAATATTCGTATCAACAAGCTGTGGAGACGAAACTTAATGAAGAAGTAATTAATGACAGCTCTATGGTCGATGAACAGTGGAAGAGATGCAGCAACGCAATGAAACAGGCAGCAGAAGAAGCTCTTGGCTACGAGACTAAATCTAGAAGGCCCCCATGGTTTGATGCTGAGTGCCTTCAAGCAGTAAAAGTGAAAAATGAAGCCTACAGAAAGAAGGTTCAGCGTCCCACAAGGCTCTCCCAAGAAACATATAGAAGAAAAAGACGCGAAGAGAAGAGATTATTCCGCGGAAAGAGAAGAGCTTGGGAAAATAAGAACATGGAGGACACAGAGGCATTGCGAGGCCAAAATGAAAGTCGCCTGTTCTTTCAGAGAATAAACGAGGGTAGGGCAGCTTTTAGGCCCAGAGTGACGGCATGCAAAGACACAAATGGAACTCTTTTAAGCCACAAAGATGACGTACTAAGGAGATGGGTACAACATTTCAAAGGCGCATTAAACAGAGGAACGGTGCCTGGAGAAGTAGGTGTAATGAAGGAAGACTCCCTGAATTCTATTGAACCCCCGGATGAGGAGGAAATGGAAAACGCCCTGAGGAAATTGAAAAATGGAAAGGCGCCAGGCCCGGACGGAATCCAGTCAGAGCTGTTGAAATGTGGAGGTGAAGAACTCAAGAAAGCTCTGCATGATTTAATGCTGACCATCTGGGAGAAGGAAGCTATGCCTACGGAATGGGCAACAGCCATTATCTGCCCAATACATAAGAAAGGAGATCAAACAGAATGCGCTAACTATCGAGGAATCTCACTCCTTTCGTGTGCTTATAAGCTGCTCTCTAACATTCTTTTTGAGAGGATCCTCCCGTATTCTGAAAAGGAACTGGGGAAATATCAGGCTGGATTTCGAAGAGGACGCTCAACGACTGATCAACTGTTCTCTCTGAGGATGATCCTAGAAAAGACTATGGAGCGTAAGGTAGTCACCCACCATTTATTCCTGGACTTTAAAGCAGCATACGACAGCGTTGATAGAACGCAACTATACTGTGCCTTGGAGGAGCTAAGCATCCCTCAGAAGCTCGTACGCCTAATCAAGATGACCATGGACAGCTCGAGATGCAGAATACGCGTCGGTTCTGACGACTCCGAAGAGTTTAAAGTGAGCAGTGGGGTTAGGCAAGGGGATGCCCTCGCCTGTCTATTGTTCAATTTGGCAGAGGAGAAAGCTGTAAGAGACTCCGGTATTCAGACCAAAGATATAATCTTCAATCGCCTGACACAGCTTCTTGGTTTTGCTGATGATATTGACATAATAGGTAGGTCTGAACGGGCTCTCAGAGAAGCGTTTATAAGCCTTGAAGCAGCTGCAAGACCACTTGGTCTAGAAGTCAACGAGAGGAAAACTAAGTATATGAGAGTTGGCGGTGAGGTGGATCTGAACTCTCCATTTGAGGTAGGTTCTTTTAAGTTTGAGAGAGTGAAAAGTTTTATATACCTTGGGTCTGAAATTAATAGCAAGAATGACATGGCTCAAGAAATACAAAGAAGGATCACGGCTGCCAATAGATGTGTCTTTGGACTTGGCCGACACTTAAGAAGTAGGTACCTCTCAAAGAAGACCAAGCTGATCATATACAAGACCCTTGTTCGGCCTGTTTTGACATATGGCTCAGAGGCTTGGACGATGACTAAAAGGGATGAGATGAAGCTGAGTGTCTTTGAGCGAGGAGTCCTCAGAAGGATTTATGGTCCAGTAAAGGAGGGTGATGTCTGGAGGAAAAGAAAAAATAGGGAGCTCAGTTCTCTCTATGCAGACATCGACGTAGTCACGTATATTAAACTGGCCAGACTAAGGTGGGCAGGGCATGTGGCCAGAATGAGCACCCTTGAAATACCAAAAAAAATAATGATGGAGGAGCTGCACCTCGTAAGACGGGTAGGAAGGCCGAGGACGAGATGGTTGGACAACGTGGCCTATGATGCGAGAACCCTGCTTGGTGTGCGGAACTGGAGAGCTGCAGCAGAAGACAGAGCCAACTGGCGGAGGCTCTTGGAGGAGGCCCAGTCTCGGTAACGGGATGTTGTGCCATACATGAATGAATGAGTAGAAGGAAAAATTGTTTTGATTTAATTATTGAAAAAAAAAATCAAAACAATTTTTCCTTCTGCTGAGGATCTAAATTAAATTGTTTTGAAATTGTCTGCTGAAGGTATTTAAAAATATGATTTCTTCTTGAAAATATGTATTGCCGATTTGGATATCGTTCTGGAATTTTTAGTAGTTTAGGGTCAACCTAGAAAATTAACAGAAATACCTAGAAAATGAGAACTAGTATTTATTTGATCCTGCATATAATAATTAACAAATAATTAAAAAAAATCAGTTAAAAGTTCAAATGGCATTAACTTAGATAATACTAGTCTAATTTATTTTTTATTGCTTAGGGAATTTAATTATCATTTAAATTAGGACCTGAAAAGTAATTTAGTAAATAAGTAAAACAGTAAAAATAAACATTGGACTTGAGGGCTCTGAAAAGTTAAGATCTGTTAAAAACTCAACATAATAAATCTAGGCGATCACAATAATTTCATTATCTAACAGTACGGAGGAAAGTAATAAATCATGTGTAATGAGTCTAACACACTACATCTTTGCTAATACTGCTTTAATTTTGATGAATTTTTCTTTATTAATTCATACTCTAAGACCAAGGTTCTTCAAACTATGGGCCGGATGCTTCCCGCAAGCACCTCCAATCCAGCATGAAAAAGGTTCTTTGATTACATAATAAAATTTTAAAACCGTTTTAAAAAGTTGAAATTTAGTTAATCGCTCAGACAGTAGGTTTCTACATGTATTTCATGAGTTTCTTCTCTTAGCAAACTCATTTCACAACTGAAATGTCATTTATTCATTAGAAGTCATGGCCCAGGGTACTTAGTGAAGGTCTCGATGCGGCCCGCAAGTCAAAAAGTTTGGATACCTTTGACCATAAGCAGGGAAACTTTTTATCATCAGAAGCTGCAGTAAAGTTAGACATTGACAATGGAGACCGTAATATTTTTTTATTTATTTTACTATTGCTATTTTTATTTATAAGTAAATACCCATTAGATAGATATTTTTAACTTAGTTCTATTAATTTTCAAATTTTTTTAAACCTAAATAACTAAATATTAGTTAATTCTAGCGCTAGATTAATAAAGATCATGCAAAAAACTAAAAATAAATTAACTATAAATTGCAAGTGTTTGTTTTCTTAAATTTGACCAATAGGCAAGATACGGAGAACAAATAAGATTTTTTTTTTTCTTGTTAGAAATTTGATATTCTTTCTTATTATTTTCATTAATTTGAGTTGCGCTAAAAAAAAAAAAAAAAAAAAAAAATTGTCTTCCTAAATAGCTTCATCTTATCATAACCTACAACTATTTCAGTTACAAAAATTTTCGGAATAGGGACACTTTCAATCTGGAGTCGACAAACTCTGTCTATTTAATTAGGCACTAAAAACTCGTATATTCCTATTTGCTTTCCACTTGGATCGTAAGATAATTTGAACAAAAACTTGAGAAAAAAAGTGGCCTTGAAAAATATTTAGCCATCTGGCATGACTTACACCCCCAAAATGTCAAAATAATGAGCTTGTACAGATCAAATTGCCCAATATTTTTGCAGGCCATCTTTTTTCTTGATTTAGTAGTCAAATTATCTTATAATCTTAGTGGAATCCAAATGGGAATATACGAGTTTTTAGTTCCTAATTAAATAGACAGAGTTTGCCAACCTCCAGATTGAAAACGCTCCAATTCTAAGAATTTTGTAAATAAAATAGTTGTAGATTACGATGAGATAAAGCTATTCAAAAAGTTTCAGGCGGATGCTAATAATTTGATAAAAAGAGGTTTGTATCATGGAGTATTAGTTTATGTTTATATCTCAAAATAATTTGTTTTTTTCTGATCTATGATTATAATAACTATTTTAGTTATTTATTTATATTAGAATAAAAGGAATCATTCATATAAGTTTTTCTTATACATTAAATACGTTTTATGTTTTTATCATCTTATTAACATTCATTAGTTGGCACTGAACATCAATTATATGGCACAGTACATCACAAGGCTTTTACTTGATATATAATACCTGCTATGAGTCGTTCAATGTAAATAGGATGATCTCATTTGTTGTCACACTCATATTACTCAGCATTTTATCTTTGTATAAAATGGAACCACGGTTGATTTTGTTTTCAGTGTAGTATTCTAAATCTTCATCTAACACTATGTTAAGATTTTCTCGTCGACGTTCAGTGATTATTATCCATAATTTTCCAGAAGACACTGTAGATAGTGTATGGTGGGAAGAGGGCCTTGTATCTCTGGGTCTCATTCGGTTGAATAGCCTACAAACTCTTGTTCGCCTGCTGCATCATTATACTACGGTTCACCCATCATCTTTATCTTATATCCCAGCAGTGTTTGCCCCGCTCATCACACCTCCTCACTACTTCAGCTCCAGCTCACTCGATCTAATGACCAGCCTTATAATCAGCTACTCCAACATATTCAAGAACAGGTAATGCTCATAAAAAATATTTGTTTTCTGTTAGTAAATTTTATTATCGGATACCTAGGGACAATTCTAAATCATTGATTCGCAGACTATTAGTTTCTCCTTAAAGCACTTAATTTCATTATTTATTATTTTATATACATATACTAATATAACAAATTTTTCAAAATATTGTACTGCCTTGAGAAAAATTATAATTTAAAAACACATTTAAATATAAAATAATATTAATTAATTATAAGCAAAGCAAATAAATGCTAAAGAGTCGATCTGTTATTATTTTTTGTGAAGATAATATGTTGATTTGCTCTTCCAGTGCTGTTTATTTAATTATCAATATTAAAACTTTTTATTCTTATATTTGATAATTATTTTCAATGCAGTATATTGATATGTAAGTCAGTAAAATTTATTAAATATGTATATCGTCCCTCACTAAACATTTCCAGGGCAACATCAAACTTGATATGTATGTCTTCATTTCCTAATAAACAACCCCTACCATTAGAATTTGACCTCTTATTTCACTCTGTAGTTGTCCATATATTCATGGGTGCCCATGCCCAAGGTTGATGATGCAAGAACCTACTCCCCCCTACTTCCATGATATTTTATTGCCCTTTTTCTTAAAAACAGAGCATGCAAAGATAGAATTAGAAAAATCGTAGATCATATACAATTACACTTGCTGCAGTCTGTTCTATGTTTTCCTGTTGTCTCTTAGTATGGAACTTTTCATTCCATAAATTCATAACCATGTCGAAATGTGTTCCCTCCAAAATTCAAAAACATGTCGAAATATGTCCACCTAAAAATTTTGATGATACAACTTGTACCACGAAACCTCCTTCTATATACCCCTTCATATATTATTTTAATGGATAACACATTTAGTTTTAGAGATCATAAAAATTATAAAATGTTTTTTTTTCCGAAACTCAATTTTGATCTACATGAAAAAGTAATATATAAAACTACACTGTCATCTATAATGCTGTTTACTTATCTCCATTGCTTTCTCCTTTCCTTTGTGACATTGTTTTTTTTTGTTCTACTTCAATTAAAATTTTTAATATCTTTTCATCTCTCATTAGAGAAATGCCATGATAAAATTTCATAATATTCGCATTGTCTGGCAACCTAATACCCTGCAAGTTTGAGTTTTGAAGCTGGGGGGCATTTACCTCCATAGCCATAGCCAGAAAAGCGAGGTAGGGTAGATAAGAAAAAAATAAAAAAGACAGTCTTCTAATTCAGAATACTCTTCTAGACACATATTATTTTTTGTTTCGGTTTAATGTCAATCATATTTTCTACGATTGTATCATTGAATAGTATATCATATGATTTTATGATGATATTTTCTTTGAAGAACTGATGTTAGTCTACATAGATGAAGGAATATTAAAATAGCAGGCCATATTGATTTTATTATAATTCTTGACTAGAAAAGATTATGAAGCCATTCCTCCAATGATATTTTTTTCTCTTGAAGAATTAAGTGATATATCCTTAATTCTCCTCTACCTCTTATTTTGTATTTAACACTGTCCCTGAAGACAAATTTAAAAAATGGAAGCTAAAGACATGAGTCATATTGGCTCTTAAAAGCCAGAAAACTTAGTTGGGATTGTGATTGTATCAGAAAAACTAATAATGCATAACTTAATATAAGTTTATAGCATAATTAAACAGCAATTACCATCATAAGTCTAGTTAGTACTGAGAATACAAATCATTAAAATGGTCTTAGTCAAAAATGATTTATAATATTATAATTAGAATAAAATCATATTTAAATCAGAAACTCATACCAAAAACATATCTATTTAAATAACACAACTTCTGATATTTTTTTTAAATATTAAAGCCACAGACTTACTTTTCTTATTCTTGAAACAATGTATGCAGATAATTTGATTTATATCAGTCTTCTTGAGATTTCACATTTTTTATTATTGTTAGTTGGCTTTAGACACTTTATATATACTTTATTTCTGTAACTTGGTAAATACTACTTTTAACTGTGACTATGTCTTTCAATTCTCTGCAGTAGCTCTGTAGTATCTTTATTTAGTTTACCTTGTTTAAATTTCTTATGTGTCCTTTTTTATTTTGGTAATTTAATATAAAATTAATTTAATTCCAGTGAATTATAATTTTATGCTCAATATTAAGATTTTCAGTTCGGGTTGCAATTTCATTATTTTATATTATCAAAATATGTAATAGTTTAACAAGTTCAACGAGGTTTGGATAAAAGGGAGTCATAAATAGAAAAAAAGCAGAATTCCGTCAGTATCCTTGTATTCTCCTTATATCCTCTCCCAAAAAATACAAAACAGTAGAACTCCATTTGTTTTATTTTCCTTATAAAAAAAATTAAAAACATAATGCCACCATTAATGATGTATTTTCTCTTATTTTTGTTTTTAAGAAGTTTTATTCAGTTATCTGAGGAAATTATATTGAATTTTAAAATCAATTGAACTGATGAGTTTTTTTTTCTCATTTTTTGATTATAACATTTTATAATTTGTTAATTTATCAAAGTAGCAGCAATGGATGGGGGGGGAGGGATTTGAAGTGTCAAAAAGGCCTCTAACATCAACTCTATTCACTTAAAAATTTTCATCTCTGTAACTTCAATTGGGGAGGCTATAGAGGTACACAAAATTTAAAGATGACGAAAAAACATTTTGATGTCCTGAAATTTTGATTGAGCTTTACTCCCACTTTTATGGTATTGTTCTGCCATATACTAGAAGTACACAAATGTAGTCGAGAAAATGTACATTATAAACAGGGTGTCCCATAAGTAGAGAGTAATATTTAATGATGTGATGGCAGACCTCGAGAGCTACAAAAAAGTAGGAAATTAAATTGTGTTTTTTAAGTGTCATGCTTCTTGTTGAATATGTAGCCATAACTAAAGAAATATTTAATTTAAATTATCAAAAATTGCTTCACTGTTAAGTAGACAAAATTTCTTTCAGATAAAAGCAGAGGTTGTCATGGTTAAAACCATGTACAGAGGATTTTTGAGCAGCTAAACTAAGCTTAATTCTGTTTATAAAATAATCATAAATTATTCACCATTTTTTTTGTCATCATCCAACTACAATACAGATACTCCACTTTTAGAAAATCTTCTGTGTTTAATAAGCTTTAAATCCATATTAATTAGGTTGAGGTCTAATATGCAAAAACTTGAGATTCGCCTTAAGTTATGTAAAAAATTATGTGATTTTTTATCTTATCACCTAAAAGTATCAGTGGTTTCAGAAAAAAATTCCTATACTTTACTGTTTTTAAGCTTTTATTGTTTGTTTATCCATCATCTGGGATGTATTATAATAAACAAAATTACCTGCTTTTTATTTTTTATTTATATAAAAAAATTTTAAATACTGATATTTCAAATATTTTTCATATAAAATGGTTATGATACTGTGTGTTTCTTCCAGATCTCTATCATAGGAGTTGATTTGTATTTATAAGCGGCAAACTTAATGTTGCTGATCCCAATATTTATGTTTTCGTAAAAATAATTGAAGCAACCAACAGGTTTCTTTGTTTAAACATAAATTTTAGGACTATAAACATTAAGTTTATCACTTATGAAAAAGAATCAATTCCTATGAGAGAGAAAAGCACAGTTTCATAACTAATTTACATTAAAAAAATTTGAAAAACCATTATTTAAAATTTTTGTTATTCATAAGAAGTGTATTTAGGCAATCATGTTTATTATAAAACATCCCAGATCATGGAAAAAACAAAAATAAAACCTTTTCAACAGTTAATTGATTGTAATCATTTTTGCTGGAAACACGGGTAATTTTAGGTGACAGGATAAAAAAACTATATCATTTTTTTACACAACGTGAAGTGAATCTCAAATTTTACTCTAGTCTAATAAACCTTAATTTAATTGATATGGAATTAAAGCTTATTGAACGGGGAAGTATTTCTAAAAGTGGGGTATCTGTAGTATAGTTGGATGATGAAAAAAATTGCAAATAATTTATGATTTTTTATAAACAGTATTCAGCTTAGTTTTGCCGCTTTAAAATCCTCTTTTAATGGTTTTAACAAACTCTGCTTTCATTTGAAGTAAATTTTGTCTAGTTTACAGTGAAGCAATGTTTAATTACTTAAATTAAATATTTCTTTAGTTATCGCCTCCTGTTCAACAAAAAACTTAACTTAGATAAAAAAAAAAACACAAAACTTGATTTCCTACTTTTCTGCTAAAAATTGGTGGGTTGTTTATATAAACTATTTTGTAGCTCTTGAGGTCTGCTAATCACATCTTTAAATATTCCCATATACTTATGGGACAACCTGTATACATACATATATTAGATATCCCTAAAACACCTATGGCCTGTTGTTCTTTTAATCACAAAATTTATTTAAAATGCACCCCACCCTCCTCCAAGGATCTTCCATATAGTGCATATGGAAATTGTACACAGAAATAATATATGTATATGTATCTATAATAGCTAAATTTCATAAGTAGTTTAAAGGTTTATTTTCTTATACATTTTATTTCAAAAACTAAATTATGTATTTAGTTTTAAAAATATTTAGTATGATTTCAGATATAGTTTATTGCATACTAATTTTTTGTCCTTATATATTTAATGTTTTTTTTTTTAAAGTAAGTAGTTTTGGAGGGATAAAGAGTCGAAATAGATGTAAATTTTTTCTTTTAAAAAATTACCTTTGTTTGTATATATTTACAAGATAGTTAGTAGATCTAGATGGTACTGATATATTTGAAAGTTCATTAGTTTATAGGTTTTTACAATTTTTGAATGAAAATAGTATTGAAATACATTACAGAAAACAAATCTGATAAAGCTTGGGCAAAAAATTCTTTTAATTTGAGAATATAGAAGCATAAAAATGTTATTTTAATTTTAAGTTATTTAAATTTTTGTATGTATAAGTTTAACTTGTGGAAAAAAATATTTCATTAAAAAAATTAAGCTTATTGAATCAAATTATTTTTAATAAAAAACTCGTACTTAACTATTTTTCTCATTTGTCACTAATAGAATAATTCTGTATATTAGATGCTCAGTTGATAGACTCGCTGGCTTATGTTGCATATTTCTCCCGAACAGCCATTCTAAAAATAGTTGATTTATTTTAACCCTTTTCTTTAGTTTCCATTTAAACTTGAAACATATCTTACCATTAATTATCTAATGAATTAGTTTTTACTCCTTAGCCACTTGTTATTATGAGTATTTATATCTAATTAAATTATATAAATATCTAATTAATACTGTAACAAAAAATATATTTATTCTATACTATTATGTCCTAATTTTAAATATATTACTTTTAAATTATTTAATTTTGGTAAACTATACTTTATAGCAATATCCTTTAATTTAATTACTAATGAAAGGTATTCAAAAATGTTTTCTCATTGGTGTAAATATCTTCATTTTAAGTTAAGTTGAATTGTGACCTAAAATTTTGTGTTTTTCATTTCATTTTTTAAAACTACAGAGTACAATTTCCTCTATATTTTTTTTTTAAAAAATTATATAAAGAAATTTTGCTAAATAGAAAAAAAAATTCAGTTTCAAGACAAAAATTAAACAAAGACTTATTGCTTATTTACTGAAAACATTCTGAACTCAAAATTCACGATTTTTGTATGAATACCACAGAAACAATCGTGATGATATCAGCTTTTAACAAGTATAATGTCTTCTCTGATATTTTATGGCCTTTCATTTTATTTCTATAATTGTATTATATTTTCACGGAAACCAAGACCTTTAAAATTTCAATAATCTTCAATTCAATGCATCTTCTGAAAAAAATTATGAATATTGAGTTATGATATTCAACAAATTAATTGTACGTATTTAAAATTTTTTTTTCTTAACTATTTCATATAATTTCTTACATGTAAAATTTTAAACTAGCAATATGTGCATATTAAATGCAAAATAATGTATACAAAATGTATGTTCAAAATTATTTATGAAAGTATGTATCAATAGCATGAACATGTACTATTACATGATCAGAAATTAAGCACATCATGATTTTACTATGATTTGTTGTATTTTTGGGCAAAAGTAGGTTATATAAAAATATCTGTTTGCAAAAATTTCAATTTTTTTGAAATTTCATTTAAGTAAAAAAAAAGTTTATTTTGTTTTTTCTAATACAATACATCTCTCTAACTTATGGAAGTTTAAATTAAATATACAAGGGTTCAATAATATTTCTATTTTGATTTTGAAACTTCCACCCAAACTCTTAGTCTGTAATTGTTATTTTGCTATAAAAATAAAAAAAATCATACTAAAATATCCTTTAGCCTTCATATTATTATTTTAATGATAGATTGATGTTTTATGCAATGAGCTAATAGATATTTACGTCTGTAATATTATGTTTATTAGTTTTATTCTTAATCCCCTTTTTCTTGTATTATTATAATAAAAAATTATTTATTATCATTATTTTATTCTAACAATTACTTCTTATCAATAAAATTTATCGCTATTTAGATATACTGTTTAATGAATTATAATTTGAAACACTTAAAAAATAAAAATAAATTATAATGATTGAATAACTTTTCAATTTGTTTTGCTTGATCATATTATATTGTTTATATGTATTTAGTAAATTTTGAGTATCTATATTAAATTTTGTTTATTTTGAAAATTGAGTCATATTGTTGTTTTTTAAATAATCTATTTACTTGGCTGTTGCCAAAGTCGTCAGAGTTTAATTTAACTTTTACGTGTCTATCTGCATTTACTCTTCTCCTCTCAATGCTTTCATATTATCTGTAAAACAACTCAGTGTAACTTTCCTTATTTTTGTTATTACTATTAACCTAGTTTTGTGTGTGATGTTTGTTATTTTTTACTCCTAGGGAGACAAGTATGAATCTTTCTGCTAAAACTGAACTAAACAACATTTCTGAAGACAATAGGCAGAAAGCTTTAATCATATTTGATCCCAACCAAAATCATAAACAAAGAAAACGAAAGGAAAGGCAGGATTCAACATCCCTTGATATGGAAAGAAAGTTTGTTCGGTAAGAGAGTTATAATATTTCTATTTAAAAATACTTGACTGGCTAATTGTTATTCAAATGATCCATAATACTCCTTAACTCAACAAGATGTAAACAAATCCTCTCCTTTATCTAGAAAATGTTAAACTAACATTTACTTTTAAGCCAATGTTGAGCAATCGGACAACTCAGAAGCTCTTTACAAATGTTGATTCAATTAATTTCATTTTTGGAAGAGAGTAACATTATTTTATTTATTTATTGTTTTTAATGAAGGTAATTACTGTAGCAATTCTTAGTTTACAGGAGAAGTTAGAAGTTTATGCGTTATAATTTAAAATGAGAATATTGTTATCTTATAAGTATTCAGCTCATATCACTCTTAGAAACAAAAAATCAATGTTATATGTTGTTTGTGTTTGGAAGGCTTCACTCCAAAAGCTCCTCTTCAATCCCCTAGTGAATTTAATTATAAACTTTATTTTTAACTAAAGTTGTTTTCAGAAATAAAGTAAATGAACTAATGATACTCATTGAAGTAATTGTTAGATCATTCAAAATTACTTTTTCAACTCATTATAGTAATAATAACTATATATAAAAACTTCAAATTATATGTTTTATAAATACAAATACGTTGGAAAGATTAGAATTATAAATTAAATATATTGGAAAGTTTTTAACTTATCAAACTCTAAATCATCTAGTCAAATTTTATTTTTTTGCCAATCGACATATTTCACTCCAAATTCGATTAATGCGTGTCATCAGGCCATATTAGTCTAACAACATGTTATTTAATATATAATATTATATATCTTGATTTTGAGATTTGTAATATTATTTATTGAAAATTTTCAAGGAAAAAATGTCTAGTTCCTAAAGAAAAAATATAAAAACAATTGAAAATAAAAGATTAAAAACAAAAGTTAACTTTTCATTTCAAGTTTTGATAAAACTAATTTGATTTGTAAATAATTATACATTTATAATTTAAACTTGTCAATTCTGTTCTGGGTCAAATTGTTTTGCCACTTCTAAAAAACCAATAGCATACTCTTATTTTCTCAATCATACTCTTTCAATAACCAACAATAATTTATCAATATATACATGGAGTAATTCCTTTTATCTTTTGAACACTATGGTATTAGATCTTTGAGGTATATGAGTATGGTAACCTGCAGTCTAGCAGTGCGGGTTTTTTTTAATCTGGCTTGAAGGAGGGAAGAGTTGGAACTTCTATTGTGATGAATCTTTGGTTGGAATGAATCCCAATATTTCCCCTCTAATTATGATAGGTTAACAATTAATATTAACTTTTTGATGCTTACACAATTACCTATATATATATATTAATTGATATTTTCTCTCTCTTTTTTTACTTAAAATCCTCATTAGGGAATTTTATTTAGTAATTTATTAATGATATTGTGCATTTCTTGTATTTTTAATTATTGTATACTTATAAATAAATATAAAATATCAAAACTTTGTTATTTTATTTCCAATGTTTACATTTTAGCCAATAACAGATCTACTACCATTAGGATGATGTTTAAATTTTCATTATAATTTTGTAGATCCTTTGAAAAATAATTTATTTACTATTTCTACTTGGAAAATAATTAAATATCATATAACAACATTTTTTTAATTAATTGTTAATGTACATAATTGTTTAACTGAGTGAGTATTTATCATTTTTTGTTTATAATGACTTAAAACATGAAGCTTTTATAACTTATCAATTATCAAACTGTCAAAATCATATGATAACTTTTCTTAACCTTAACATGACACTTTAGGGAAACATCACATTACCGGTTTAGTAAAACTGACAAGATTTAAAGGAACCCAATAAGGTATAAAAATGGTGTTCACAAATTGTAATAACCAAGCAAAATTTGAAGACTTCAATGAACTGCTATCACCGGAAAAAAGGTCAGAAATTAGAAAATGGATTCAAGACAGCATTAGATTTTCTTCTCACATGTCACAAGGAGATAATTTAAGGTGTGGATTGAAGATTCCTGCACATCAAAACTATTAGAAAGCTCCCGTGAATTAAAAAAAGGGATTTTTTGAAAATGCCATATTGCCATCCTCTGTTCCGAATGACCCTCCATTCTTCTAACTACTGAACAGTAAAAAACATTTAGAGTTATTTTATAGTCGGTATTTCAGAATCATACTGAGCATGCAACAGTTTAATACAAAATCATGTTAAGTTTTTCATGAGGATTCGTTGTGCTTCCAACGATAAGGTCATGGGTGGCAGTGAAGTTTATATACCTCTGTCCATTATTGTTAGTATATTTCTAATTTAAATTCTTTCCCTTCACATTCATATTAATGGTAATTACTTTAATATTGGGCCAATGTTTTTTAGTTCTTTGATGCTGGTCAAAGAATTTCTCTTTGTCAGCCTTGTCTGCTATTTTTCTCATTGTGGAATAAGCAGGTTGTAGTTTTCTAGTTTGTGCCGTAATGCATAACACACAAAATCCTTGGCTTTAAAACTAACAATTGTTTGAATTTCCTACCTACATTGGATCCTTTTCCAAAAAGATGGTATGTAATAAAAAGTATGGCTCTTCTTTGCTGGACTGCTTTGTTCTTTATCGCTTGTGTCGCAACAATATCAACTTTATGCAGATCTAAATTTCTGTGTGGGTGTTAGTGTTGTAGAGTGCTTTAAGATTGTTAGAATAAAGTAATAACCATTACGTCTCTCTGTAATACCATACTGTTGTTGAAAATTATATGTAATATATGTGTGTGTGTGTGTGTGTGTGTGTATATATATATATATATATATATATATATATATATATATATATATATATATATATATATATATACAAATATATACCTTAATAAAGCAATAGGTGTTTAAGGTTACGTACAATGTGTACCTTGAATGTCTATGGTTAATGTTTTTATTATAACTTTTTTCATATTCTTTTAACACTTTAATAAATCCATTTTACTTTTCAGCTCTAATAGTGAAGAGCGGCCTTTTACAAAACTTGAGGAAAAAATATCTGGAGATGGTCGAGATTCTATGAGAAGGGTAAACAGTCATGAAGACTTCTCAAAAGCTAGGAACATTACCCATCAGGTATTCTTTCTTTTTTATTAGCATAAATCTGTGAGCATGTGGCCTATTCAGGATATATTTAAGATATTATTTATAACTCACTTCTAATATTTGTACGTAATGAAATATAAATTGCTATAATAAAAAATAAACTATGATTTTATGATTATCTTTCTAGCAGTCTACAATATTTAAGTGCGTGCCTTTCTTTAGTCTTGTACAATCTAATGATAACATAGACAGTTTAAATCTTGTTTAGTGTTGTCTAAATATACCATTTTTATAAATACCAGTGTTAATCTGTTATGAGTGCCATTGACTTTATAATATTTATTAGTTGGTATGTCATATAGAAGCTGAAAAAGAAGTCTGTATTTTGCTTTGTCTCTCTTTATTTTCTTTTGTTTTATTTTTATTCATACATCATAACTTTTACAGCAAACCATTAGATATCATCTGAACTTTCTGCCATATAAGAATATTAAACGCTTCAAAATTTAACCAAAAATTACGCCTCTATCAATTAAAGCCACAAAACTTCCTAATTTCAAATTCATTTTGATGAATCCACAAAAGGTGATAAATAATTTCTTTTTAAAACCCAACCCGGAACTAGTTATCATCTAAGACTCCCTGTAATTAATATCCCTTCGTTTTCAGGGAATATTTCAGATTGGCCCGCGTTTAAGGATATATTCTTCTCCTTGCTCTATGATAACGTCCTTGATAGCTCATTTGCTCCCACCTGAGTAACAACCTTAATTTTAAAAATTTACAAATATAAATTTTGGTGGGCGGTATATTTAGACCGTTAACAATTGATACGATATTTATAAATACTATTTATTGATATTACCATTTGTTCAGGTCATTAATTTTATTTTACACACAATTCTAAATAGTAAATTATGATTAGTAAGTATTTTTGTTTGTTTTAATTCAAGTTTAATTTACACAAAAAGATATATGTATACGAATCGAGAGAATTTTATTTAGTTTAATTTGAAATTTAAAAAAGTCACCTGTCTTATATACTAATGAATGAGATCCCCTATCCACTACGAACTACACTGGCTACTTATGAATGGAGATCGAGCTTCTTTTTTTTTCTCTAGCCATCTTGTAGCATCCAGATAGTTGAGTGAGGTGTTCCTTTAAGATAGTTAGCATCTACCTTCATTTGTATTTACCTAAGCTAGTAGTTACTTTGCTTTATATGTTTGTCGGTGTCTCTATGTTCTTTAGTGGCAGCTGGAATAAGAAGAGATTCACCTCCAACAGTAAAACCGGAATTGATTATTTTTTATTTAATATCGAATCAAACCTTTTATAACAGAACACCACCATAGTTTAGACGCTTTACCATAAATTTTCTAGCGAGAATCACCTGTTAATTTTTTTTTTGGAATGCAGATTATAGACATTGCTTAATTATAATTAATTTCTATTTTTGCATCCATAGGTCGGTGGTTCAAATGTGGCCCGGAAGACCAAATATTATGATGGGGAGAGCAATGTTGTAAAATATACAAATATAGTCTCAATAAAGTGTAATAAAGTTAAAATCGATTATTATTTATCTGAGAAATTTGAAGTTTGTTCGGGCTTAAAACAAGGTGATTCTCTTTCACCTGTCCTATTTAATTTAGCATTAGAACATGCCATTAAAGAGGTGATACATACCGAAAAAGGTGATCAAACCTGAGTGAAACAATATCCATGGTCGGGTATGCTGATGATTTGGTCCTGCTAGGCGAAGACATGGAAACAATAAAACTAAATAAAACAACATTGATGGAAGCCGGTAAAGAACTAGGACTCGAGATAAATGCGGATAAGACAAAATACATGGTTAGCTGCAAAAGTGAAATTTTGATGATATCAATATAGAAGGGAATGTGTTTGAACACGTACAGAATTTTAGGCATCTAGGGTCTACGATAACTAGAAAAAAACGAAATTGAAGAAGATATTAAGATTAGGCTGAAGGCAGGAAATTCTTGTTATTTTTCTTTGTCAAAACTACTTAGTTCTCTCCTCCTGTCCCGAAACTTAAAAATTAGAATTTACAAAACTATTATCCTACCTACGGTTCCTTATCGATGAAAAAAACGTGGCCGCTTACATTAAGGGATGAGCAACGTCTTAAGGTTTTTGAAAATAAAGTATTGCGCAAAATATTCGTACCGAAAAAGAATGAGTCAACCGCAGAATTTAGGCGATTACACAATACTGAATTGCGTGAACTGTATCTGGTTAATATAATTGAGGTGATTAAGTTAAGGCGAATAAAATGGGCATGTAAAATCACTAGGCTTAGTAACGAAAGAATTCATAAAAAGTTAATACGCTCTGTACCGACTGGCAAGCGTCCAAGGAGTAGACCAAAGCGAAGTTGGGTGGATTGCGTTAAGGCTGATTTGGTGGATGGAAGAATGTGGGCATTGATTGGAGGTATTGGCATAGAACATTTGGGTTCGCTAAGCCTTATTATTATTATTTAAGATACTAAAGAATTATTATTTTCAAATATAAATTATTTATTTTTCTTATTTTTGAAATTTTATGGGTATTATTCAAGCTGATACTCATGCTATGTCTAAAAAAGAAAGATTTAATTGCATTTTGGAATCTTTTATATCATTCCATCTCTGAATTATCTTTACTCTATTTGGATTGTATATTGATATTTGGCATATTCTTCTTGCTGAAGAAGTTCTTATACATTCATTACCTGTAAGAAAAGGTCTATCTTTGTCCAGTTAGTTGCTGTGCCATTGCTTTTTGTGCATTGTATAATAGGGACACTGATTTTGTTCAAATTTGCTATTGTATTAGTTGTGGTTCCATAGTGATTTTACAAGGTTTAGGCTTCCACTAAGGATCATTGTATTGTGATAATTTTTTAATCCTATAATAGTTCTCTCTTCAATATTTATGTTATCCTTAAACATTTTTGAGCAATAGCAGTATCAGTTTCTACTAATAATAACAGTAATAATCGAGAATAATAACCAGAATCATTTTAACAAGATATGATTGAAAGTACTCTTTTGTAACACCAAGAGTTTTATATATATATTTAAATTATAATAATTTACATTTAATTAATTTAAAACCATATAGAAGTAAAAATCATTTGCATTATTCTAAATTTCATATTTTTAAAATTACTATTTTCTTTATTATATTTTAGAGTAGAAAAATTACAGAGCCATTACATGAACGCAATTGCTGCTCACCAGAGAGGAAAGAAGAGGAATACAGCATAGGAGAACAACTAACTACTACAGTTGGTTATGCAAGTGATTTGTATGATGACAGTGAGCATGAGAGGAGGCGTAACAGTGAAAGGTTTGCTCCGCAGGCAAGGAGAAGACGGACTAAACATTATAGATCTTCTCAAGCTAAAGTAAGTATCCATTTTACCATAGTTTTAATTTTTTATTTTAGTTGAGATTCTTTTAATCAACATAAATCACATAAAAAAGATAGTTTACATAATTGGGCTAGCTAAATTAAGCTATAATACTTAACACTATGGCTGTCATTCAAGAAATAAACCCTAAGAGACCAGAAATTCATTAGTTTGTTATAACAAAGTCTGTAATATTCAAATCAAAACAAAAATAAGTAGGTTAATAGTTTGGATTGTTTTTAAACCAGTATTTAAACCATTAAAAAAGCAGCTAATATAAACAGAAGGTAAATAAATAATTGTTTTGTTCAAATTACTTGATAAAATCCTTGTGTCTGAGTTCATAGTAATGAGGGTTTATTGTCAGTAGTCTAGTATCTCGTCAAGTAGCTCTGGTAACTTCATTTTTACTTCTATAGTATTTCTTTTTCTGGTTATTAGTTTATATTTTTTTGGGGATGCGGTGGCCAAATGGGCTAAAGCGTGTGCACAGCACCGCGAGTTGCCCGGCAACTAGATATATGAAGTTTTGAGAGACAAAAATAAGTACGAGTTCACTTCCCGGTATCGGAGGGATTTTAAAATTCCCCACCCTCACCCTCCAGCCCGGGGGAATCCCTTAAGGCATTTACGGCGAGGTAGGGAAGACCAACACAAAAAAAACAAAACAAAGTTTATATATTTTTTTAATCAATCAAGTCTAGTTTGGTTTTTTACAATTGTTACAAATCTTATATTTACTATTCCTATTTTGTTATTTTTATATATTTTTTTGGGGGGAGGGGCAATATTAACCATCACTTCTTCAATCCAGTTCTTTTTAAACTCAAAATGAATATGATTTGGAGCATATAACTGCCAATAGATTTTTAAATTCTATAAATCTCAAATTAAGAATGTACAATGCTAGAATAAAGACAATTATTATATATAGATTTAAGACCTGGACACTAGCCAGCAACCTAGAAAGAAATATTGAAAGATTTGTGAGGAAAACTTCACTATAACTGAAGGAATCTAGAATCAAAGTAAGAAAAAGGACCACTAAAGAACTTAAAAAAACTTGTCAATCAATATCTCATGATACAAAGGCTAGGAGGCTATGATGTGTGGGACATGCAGCTCAAAGCAACAATCAGTTAGGAAGTTTCTACACAGCAATGGATCCCTCAGTTGTTGGCTAGGTACCATATTGGAGATCAAAACCAAATGAATTCATCTAATCAACAGAGGTGCTGCAGAGCTGCAAGCAGAAAATTGGAAAGCAGTAACACAATAGGCAGAGGCTGGTTCAAAGGAAAAATGATCTATAAGCTGTGTAGAGCCTACATAAAAAAAAAATATATATACAAAAGTAATAAAACAAAGAGATAATTTATTGTTGAAACAGATTTAATCTTGCTTCTTTCAGGAGATAAATAGTTATTTTAAAATAATAAAAATTTAGAAATTCATTTGAGATGGTTTGGTCATGTCTCTCGAATGCCAAAGAACCGAGTGACCAGGATTGTTTTGGAAAGTAAAGTTGAAAGAAGAAGACCTCACGGAAGGCCCAGAAAGATTTGGGAGGTCGGTAACAAGCAGGCCTTTGACAGAAGAGATATTGACTGGAGGAGGTAGCAGTTGGGCCCAGGATTGGGAATTGTGGATTTGGCTATGCAAGAAGGAAGGCTCCTCACACCACTGTGAACCGATTTCACACCAGAGGAAACTATTAAGAGAGAGAGAGAGAGAAAAAAAGAGAAATTTTGAAAACTAATGTTAAAAATATTTATATTCAGGTTATGATGGTCGAGCATGTTAGAGCTTTGCCTGCTTTTAGATTCTCGAGTCCAGTGGCATTACTAGTTTAATTCCAGATTGAACACAACAAAATATATTTTGTGGCAAACCTTCATAATGAATCAATCTTCCTACTATGGTTAGAATAGATATAGTTATCTCTTTAGAACAACTTGAGTGGATGTCATAAATGGCAGATTAGGGGTAATAAAAATTTTTTTTTTAAATAATTAAATGATTAAAAATATAATATGAAATACTTTCAAAGTGTATTAATACTTTTAAATGACTAATTATCATTTAAATAAGCATGTAGACTCCAGACGTTGTACTCTTTTCTAATTTAGTTATGCAATTTAAGTTTTGATAAAATTTATTTATAAGGATTTCCAACTCAACTTAGTATTACTCACAACATACTGTGGATATAAATTTGAGAGGCCAAATTTGGTTATTGAATTCAAAACACTCACACACACACACACACACATATATATACATATATATATTATATTAATTTTTTGTTTTATTTAAAAAAAATTAAAAGTTTTCATTAATTATCTAAAGGAACATTACATAATTCTAGAAATAATATCCTCTTTCAGGAAAATGATTCCACATCTGGACATAAGCAAAAGCACACTTTTAAGCACCAATCTTTTCGCCTGAATAGTACTATCATTTATAATAGTCTTCCTAGCACACCACATGAATTCCCTACTGTTGATTTCAAGGAATCATTTAAGGTTAGTATCCACTGTCCTTATGCTATGAATAAAATTCTTTTAAAACAATATTTACTTTTATCAAATTGAGATTTTTGTAGGCAATACCTTTCATCAACCTGTATTATTTTTGCTTATTTGTATATTATTTTTCTCACTTTATATTTGACAAGTTTCAGTTTGGCTACTGACAAAATAATTTTACAATAAAGTTTATAATAATAATTAATTAATAATTAATATTATTTATAAATTGTTTATTATTATTTTAATAGTTTATCTGAATCTTGGCATTATAATTATTATTTTTTAAATTTGCAAATTTCTATTTTAAAATTATGATTAGGATCTTATTATATTTTATTTAATTATATTTCTTTATGATCAAACACTAAATTAAATTTAGTTGTTATAGTTCACTTTTGAAGCAAACAATCTATTAGACTATTCCGTTAATCCACTTGGGTGGCAATCGAAACACTAATCTTAATTGGTACAAATCCCTTTTGTACTATTTGACTTTTCTGCCGAACATGTATCCATCAAAACTTGAAGAAGTGTATATTCTTAGATTACGTTCCGACTGAACGAACTTTCCTAGGATCTCGTTTCATTCTGAACTGTTCCATTGGTGGAACTCTTTCCACAAACTGTTCCGCCTCTAATCACTAATAAGGGAGGGCATTATGAATAGATTCATAACAATATATACAGATAGTCAAGCAGCAATTGGGGTCATAAATAGTTATGCAGCCCGCCCCAAGTTGGTAGATGAATGTAAAGGCAATCTGAACCTTCTCTTTATTGCTAACAAGGTGAGGGTAGAATGGGTGCCTGTACACTCAGGCATTCCAGGTAATGAGAAAGCCGATTGCCTTGCTAAGAAGAACTCTACGCAAGTTCCACTTGCCCATCTATGGGATAAGCCTGTACCAAAAGGCATATTAAGGCAATTTTGTGTAATAAATTTAGACTACATTGGGCACAGACTAGGAAACAAACTCATTCGAAGCTGTTCCTCGTAGGGCCCTTTCACAAGAGAAGTAATAGACAGGAGCACCATTAGGTGTGTGACAGGACAATACACTGATCACTGTCGACTCAATAAGCACCTCTTTAATTTGGGTATAAATGAGACTTCCACCTCCAGGCTGTGCGGCTTGGAGAATGTAACAGCCTATCACATTATCTGTACATGTGATAATATCGCTAGACTGCTATATTTTCACTTTGGATGTGATTGTATCACTACCTAAGTGCTGCAAACTAATAGATCCTATTAATATTAACAAGTTCGCAAAGGCATCTGTCCTGTTTGAATAGTTTAGAATGACGCACAATAGGCCTCCATGAGGCTGTGGGGCATCCCTATCCCGGGGGGGAAAAAAAATTGTTCAGAATGAAAGTTTTCAACTATTCTCCTCTTCAACAATTCCTGTCTTTCATACACCTTTTTCATTGGTATAATTTTTGAAATGGAGATTTGTCCATGAAGCCAAAGGATACTCCCTGGTAATATAAAAAAAACAGATTTGACAAAAATTTATTCTTTTGAAGATTATCTTTTCTTTTAAGTGGAAAAATAACCACATCCCCCAGAAAAGTCAGAGAAAAAAGTTATGATGGAAAGGAAAATTTATTTGTGCTTAATGTTAATTAAACTGGTTTCAGAATTCTCTTCAAAATCTAAGAAAGTATCATTGAAATTAAACCATTTTGGTAACAAAGCAGTCAATTGTAATTCTTACATGTTTTAGTCTATTATTTTTAACTAAAATTCATTTCTCTCTCTCATATTTCATTGCAAGTACTTATTCCCATATTATATTGCCATTTGTTCACTGACCAATATAATATTTGATTTATTGACACGGCCAACCAGCCTTGATTGCTCAAATTATTCGGTGAGATCCTCTAAGTGATTTGAAACAATTTAAGCTAAAAGGTACATAAAGATTTTTTTAGTAGGTGACATGATCAATTTTTAACTTTGGCAGCTGTAATTACTCAGTTAAATACCGTGAATGGTTTGAAACAATTTTTGCACAAAATAGTGAAAAAAATTTATACCATTGCTTCAAAAGTAGACAAGGAAGTAGAATGCTTGGTTCTAAATTCTAATATTTGAAAAAATTTTAAACTCTCAGTGGCTTACTCAGTTTTACTGGTGAAATGGTAGCATAGTGACATCGTGAGTTCTTGCATACTTACCTTCTAAGAGGACTTGATCCTCTGACCTGTGAGATCTCTAATTTCCAAAGCACAGTAAAACATATTATAGAAGACTGTTCTATATTTGAAACTGTTAAAAAAAAATTGGACATGGCACAAAGCCCCACAGAAAATTTAGAAGACAGCGTAAGAGCAGTTAAAAAAACATTTAGATTCTTAAAAGTGATGAAATTTTATAACAAAGTTTAATTTGAAGGTATTGCCAATGACCCTACAGGGTATTTGCCTAGAACCGTAATGTGTAGTGAATGGGAGCCGACCACTACCCCAATTTTAAATATTCGTAGATGTCAATTTCCCTATCAATCTTGAAGAACATTCTCTTAGGGTGGATAGGATTTCGCAATTTCTGTAGTCAGTTTTTTTTTTTTTCCAATTAAACTATTTTTTAATTAAGTTTTTTATTCCAAAAAGTAAAATGTTTGATCATTAAAAGTTTCTGCTTTTGTTTTCTTCATATTTACATAAAGAATATTTTCTAATATACGTAATATAAGAATATATTAGCCTTGAGCACATTCCATTGTGTTTTAGTCAACGGTGAAAGCTTGTTTTCTTTTAGAAAATAATTTAATTTTTACTTTTTTTACTTGAACCCGAGATCTTCAAACGTTTAGGTTTTTGAACCACATTCAGATCTCCTGTAAGTTCCACAGGTCATTGGGGGCAAAATGCCTATGGATGAGTTAAGTTAATAGATAAATGACAATTATAATTAATGACTTATATTTCAATTTTAATAACTGATCTGCGATTTTATAATTTTATTTTACTCAATATTTTTTTTTTTTAATTTGCCTCAAAATAGTTACAGATGCCAAATCCATACCTTATATATATATATTATATAATTATTATAATTATTATATATTATATATATATATATATAATATATATATATATATATATATATATATATATATATATATATATATATATATATTATATATATATATATATATATATATATATATATATATATATATATATATATATATATAATATATAAGTATATATATAAGTCATTAATTATAATTGTCATTTATCTATTAACTTAACTCATCCATAGGCATTTTGCCCCCAATGACCTGTGGAACTTACAGGAGATCTGAATGTGGTTCAAAAACCACGTTTCAAGATCTCGGGTTTAAGTAAAAAAAAGTAAAAATTAAATTATTTTCTAAAAGAAAACAAGCTTTATATATATATATATATATATATATATATATATATATATATATATATATATATATATATATATATATATATATTTATGTAGGTATTTTTAATCAAATGGTTTTAAACCTTGGAACCAAAATATTTCATTTTCGATTGTTTATTTGGCTAATAAATTTCGTAATCTATTTTCAGGGATTTTCAGTTTTTTTACTTTTTATTCATGGCATAATTTTAATGTTTGTAAAAATGTTGGCTGTATTTTGTTTTATAAATATTTCATATATGCTGGGTTGTGTCTTGGTAAGTTGAATAATTATTTAATTCAATACTTTTTCTACTTATTATTTTCTTTGATTCCGCAAATTTGCCACCATTTAACCTTTCATTGGTCTTACCACTGAAGCATATAATATTAATTGCAGTAAATTAGGCAGAATACTGATTTTTTAAAAAATTAAATGTTATGTTGATGTTTTTCCCTTTGCCGTATATAACCTTGTCAGATACTTAACCTATTTTCAACTTCAATGTTGTTCTTGTCTTTTTTTCATGCCATCACTTCTATTCTAATTACTAAATAAGACAATCTAAGTTAAAGTTTCCAATTGTTATAAATATTTGAATCAGTAACAGTAAGAGCTTTTAAATTTAATATTAATTATAAAAATTTGTTGATTTGCCTTGAAATTTTTTTTTTATAATAATAAAACCTTATTTTCTTACATCAGGTTCTCATTTATATCATTAACTGGGTGAGAACAAGAAAAGAAATAAAGGATACCCTTATTTTATATTATACCGTGTGTCTTCAATTGATGCGTTTCTAATTAGCAATCTTCTATTTCTATATTTGATTTATTTTTAAAAGTTGTAATCTGTTATTAAGACCTCCTTACAAGATCGAGTTTTTTTTAACTCTGAGGTCAGAGCAGCTTGAGCTTTGTCAAAAGTGTTAACACATAGGAGAAAATCAGGTAATGGTCTGTAGCAGATAATAATCAGGTATCTAGAGGAGATTTTTTGCAATGGCTATGTCAAAAAAGTGCTCTACCATATCAATCTGTCTTTTTCTCTGGTATCAGTTTACATGTGACAATTTTGGTGTACTTTTTTTCAAATGATGTATCAAATGAATCTGGTATAAGAACTCACAGTATAGTGGGATTATAGGCGGTTGTTGTGGTTAAATTATTATTGGATAAATAAGAAAAGAAAAAAAGTGAACAAAGAGTTGTGGACTGAGCTGAGGATTATATTTTTCAAAAATACCTTCCCATTTCTTTGGCTATATCATCAGTGAATTTATTTTTTTTATGAACATCCTTAAATTCCTCCTCTTATGGAATTCTTCATTGTCTTTCTGTTTGAATCATTATATGCTTGGGCAATAATTGACCCCTTTATTTCTTAATTCAAACAATATATTGAAGAGTTGAAATGTTGAAAGACTGTTTGCTTAAACTTTGTAGTAAAATTTTGTTATTTTTAAACAGAGTGGATTTGCTTAGTCTGTAATACACTGAAATTAACTACTGTTATTTTTATTTCAATAAAGACAAATTAATAATATAAATTTAGCATATTTGTGCATTAGAATAAAATGAAAATAATAATTGTAATTTTCCCTTCTCGATTGAAGATTTATGAGTTTGTCTAAAGGTTTGTAATTTAAAAATGAAATATCAATTGATTATGGCTTTGCTCTCCCCCTCCTCCTTCTCTACTTTGTCTTTATTTTATTAAATTCGTCACTAATAAGTTCATCACTCTCTGTTACCTTCTACAACTTCATTTATTTGATATTATTTTTTTTTTAAATTCTCCGATTTCTAACGATATATTATACAAATACATTTTGACTGTTATTTCCAGAGATTTCTTTTCAATCTGGATAAGCATTTTCGTTTTTTCTCCAGTTTCCAGTTATTTTATTTTTTCAAACTTCATATTTAGCCATTTTTTATGTTACTGTCAATAAAAAAGATTTCATTTTTTTAAATAATCCATATTAAAGGTGCCTTAGAGGATGACCTATACAAACATAGGGCATTTATTTCCTGTAAAGTGATATCAATGGGGATAAGACCAAAATGATATTAAATACCACATAATTATACAATGATATAATACCAAGTTTAATCAAAATTGTAGAGGTGTTTTTGAGAAAATTGTAAAAATGTGTTTCACTGTTGATATAAAGTAGCACTTCCAGTTAACCTATTTTAAGGAAAAAGTTGCTGTCGAATTTAAGGCCTATCTTAAATAGGTAATATCAGTTTCATATGATTTTTTGTTTTTGAGCTAGACGGTTCACAGACGCATGGACACACAGACCATTTTGCGGGACTTGGTTGTTTGTACTCATTGGTCCTCAAAACATGTATTCCCGTTGAAAAGTTAGATTCGAAAATTTTCACAATCACAAAACTTTCCCTTGTTATATATTACATATATAGGTAAGTGTAAGTAACAATTCTTATAGACCATTGTCCGATTCCTCATAGAAAAGCAGGAATTCAAGTTATTTTAATTAAGTCCAATTTTTTGTTTAAGTGCAAATTAAAGAATTGCAATTGTGAAAATTAAGGAAGTAGAAATTGAAAAACATTATAATCTAGATAATTATTAATTGTAGCATAGTAAACTTGACCAAAATTTCTTTTAAAAACACTAAAATTTATCGTTTTTAAAACAATGTTAAGAGACTTTTCTTGTGGATAAATTATATAAAGTGCTTTTTTTCATAAAATCATAGATTATTCATCATTTTTTTTATTAGGCTCCTACTATACTACATATTCACATTTAGGGAAAACAATTTATAAATAAAATGATTTTAGTTATTAATCTATAACAGCACATCCCTAGTAACAGAAATAAAAATGCAAACTTTTTAATAGTTTTTTGTAAATGTAAATTGCTGAAAACACTGATTCTTTAGGATAAAGCTTTGTAAATAACATATTTTTTTTTTTTGCAAATCTGACTATTGTTTAATAGATAGACCTCAAACTAACTTAACAGGTCATCAAAGCTTATTAAACAAAAACGTTTTCTAATAGTGGGCAATCTGTAGTGTAGTCGAAGGCTGATTCATAATTTTATGAAAACAGAATCTAGCAGAATTTCTTGGCTTGAAGGGTCATTAATATGGTTTAACAAAGACAAATTCCACTACTTTTAAAGAATTTTTTGTCTAATTTACTATGCTATAATCAGTAACTAATTAGTTAATGCTTCGTATTCAATAAAAAAGTGACACTTAGAAAAAACACAAAACCTATTTAAACATGAAACCAAATATATTTCCTGCTTTTCTGTGAGAATTAGATGATGGTCAATGTACATACTTTTGTTCCTCTTGAGATCTACTTTCTATTATCACTGTAGATACTTTCCATTGTTTGTAGGGCATCCTTTACAATATACCTATTATTAGTTTGTGCTGCATTTTATTTGCAGGAACCTGATCAGGATGAGGAAAGGTCTCCGTCACCAATATCTGGAGTTTCAAGCCCTACTCTGGATATGAACACGTTTCAAGAAAATGACAATGAACCTCTGACTGCATGGAACAACATTTTAACTCCTGTAATCATTCAGTTTATTTTATTTTATTTATTGTTTATTATGGATAGTATATTTTTATTAAGAAGATACTTAAATGTGACTTATTATTTTGTTCATTACAGTCCGAAGAAAGATTGGTGTCTCCCCGCAACTCTATTGTTATGAGCAAGAGGACTTTCACTGCTATGCAGCCAGAAGACGATCCAGTTATTTCAGATTTGACTACACAAATTACCAAGTAAATATAACATTTTGTAAGATAAATAATAGCCCGAATGAATTAATTATAATTATTTTAAATTTCTCTTACTTATATATAATATACACCAAGGAAAAATATTATGATTTTGAAAAAATTTTAACCTGAGTTTTCAATGAAAATACACATTTTAGGGTCCCCTGTTCAAAATCAAGTCTGATATACACAACTCATTTTGTGATCACTTTTTCTAAGAGAATTATCACCAGTTATGGTATAATTACTTAATACCTATAGAAGCCCATGATTCCTTATTACCTTTTCTTGCAAACCATTGTTATTTTCCTCATGGTGAATTTTATTTGTTAATCAACAGACATTGAATGCATCTTCCTATTTCTTTTTCTTCTTTGTCTTTCTCTTATGCCATTTTAGTTAGCGTCAAGGAGCCTCAATCCAGCGTAACCACTCATCCTGGTCCCTGCTTAGCCGCTTCATCTCATTGAGGGTTTTGCCTCTTTTACTTCCAATTCTTTGGATATATTCTTGGTATGTAATTCTGGGGCGTCCGCGTGGTCTCCTTCCTGTGGGTCGAACCTCTAATATCTTTATAGAATTCATGTTCCCGTTCATACGGCAGACATGTCCAACAAACCACTGGAGTTGCCGTATTTTTAGAGAGGTTTTAAGTTCGGTAACTCCTAGATACTCTCTGATGCTTTCGTTCCTAATGCGATCCCTTCTCTCAGTTCTCCCAACAGATCTACGAAGGAACCTCATTTCTGCTGCCATTATGCGACTAGAGTGCCTGTCCAGCATTGTCCAGCTTTCTCCGCCGTAGGCGAGTATAGGCAGGTAAACAGACTTATATACATGCATTTTGGTCATCTTGTCTACTTCGCGGTGGCCGATGATACTATTAGTAGTCTGGTAATACATTTGATTCGCCTTGCATATTCTGTTTGATATTTCAGCGTCTATCTTACCTGACTAATTACGGTCCCTAAGTAGGTATATTCACTCACTATCTCAAGTGTCTCGCCGTTGCAGATCAGTTGTACATCTTCCTGCTCTTCCCTCGCCATAACCAGCACTTTACTCTTGGATGTAATTTGCATCCCTTTCCTGAGCAACTCTTCTTTCCATTCTACCAAAGCTTGTTGTAGTTTGGTCTTGGTGTCGGCTATTAGGACTATGTCATCCGCTTATAAAAGGCTTTGTACGAGGACAGTTCCCATATTCCATTTCCCAATTGTTTTCCATGCAGTTCAGTGCTTGCAGATTTTGTGGATTGTATCCATCACATTTATAAATAAAAGGGGACTTAAGCTATCTCCCTGTCTAACTCCTCTCGCAATCGGAAAAGGTTCCGATTTCATACCATTTATTTTTACCACTGCCATGGCTCCTTGGTAGGCTGACTGTATGGCCGCCAACAGGTCTCCAGGTAAACCATTGGCTGTTAGGGCATTCCAAATTTCTTTTCTTGGGACCACATCAAACGCTGCCTTCAGAACAAGGAATGCATGATACAAATTTTTATCTCTGTTCCAAGATTTTTCAGCAATATTTCTGAGGACAAAGATGTGATCCTGCGTCTGTCGGCCTGGACGAAAACCAGCCTGTTCCACTTCTAATTGCCCTTCCACAATCCTCTTCTTTCTAGAATGGAGGTGTAGAGTTTATAGACTACTGAAAGCAAACTAATGGGTCTATAATTTTTGCAGTCTGTCATGCATCCTTTTTTTATTTTCTGTTTTTATAAAGCGGGAGGATTATACAATATTCCCAGTCTCTGGGAATTACCTTTCTGTCATATACTTCTTGGAATAGCAATTGAAGTGATTTACGAAGTTATTGACCACCATATTTCAAATACTCTGGTGCAATTCCATCCCTTCCTGATGCTTTACCTCTTTTAAGCATACGGATAAACCTTTTTTAGCTTAAGGATTGCATTTTCTATTTCTTCTTCCTCTATAATCGGTGAACTTTCTTGAATATTGGGCTCTTGTTCTTGGCAATTGTCTGTTTCTGGGTTTTCGGAGCATTGTTCCTGGAAATACTGCTTCTATCTGCCAAGGATTTTTTCCTTGTCTGTAAGTACAGTTCCATCGCAACCTTTTACATTTCTAATGGGCTTCCATTGCTTTCCTCTTAACATTTTAACATTTCACCAAAATGTTCTTATGGATTCACGATGGTCCTCGCTCAGTCTTTTACCAAAATCCTCCCACGACTTCTTCTTGGCCTGGCGTATTGCTACCTTACATTTATTCCTGGCTATTCGATAAACGTGTAGCTTTCTGTCAGTTCTATCTTTAAGATATGCTTTTCAGGCAAGTTTCTTCCAAGAAACCACTTGTTGGAGTCATTGGTCCACCAGTCTGTCCACTTTCCCTTACCAGACACTCTCTTCTTCCCACAAACGGTATTTTCTGTTTCTAGATTGTAGCCATGCAATGTTGTTGTATTTCTCTAAATGGATTTGTGTGCTTATTTCTAGCCTGAAAATTGCTATTACTTTAACAATTGATTGAAGTTATTTACTCTTAATGGTTCAAAATGAAGAAACATTCTAATAATAATGTAACAAGTATTCTTATTTATTACTTTTGCAGTTCACAATTACTTATTGTTATAGTTTTGGGACGAATTAAAATTATCAGTTTTTTTTTTCTATTTTTGCTGGTAAAATATCTTTTTTTTTTTTAAAGCCTAAAATGTTTAAATTTTAATATCATTTTGTGCAGATTATTATGTATTACTTTTTACAGCTTCAAATAATACTAAATGCAATCATCTTAATTTGTTTTAATATTTGTTTAGCTTGAAACGGAAGCTAAAGAAATATGAAGATGGTTTTGAAAAAGAATTTGGTTTCAAACCTTCTCATGCTGATAAAATGGCCAATCCTGACACCAAGAGAATGTGTGCTATGTTGAGTAAACTTCGAAAGCAACTCAAATGTAAGTTTTTTGAGACATAATGCTTGTTTTTGTTTGAAATAAATACAGTTAGGTAGTTAATTTGTTATTTATGTTATAAAAGAGTGACAGCTACTAGAGATGAACAAATATTCTATAATTCCTTTTTCAGATAAGTTGGTAGATTTTAGGAAAAAGTTAATTAATTGAATATTCAACAATCATCAACATATTTTAGTATAATGTTAAGTAACATGCCATCACAATCTTTTGTCACTCACAGCCTCTTCAAGGTACCTTCGCCAAGTTAGTGGTTATATCCAGTGATGTTGCCCTCCAGTCATGAAAGCTCAAGCTATGTCTGGCATCTTGCTCTGCTAAATCTACTCTTTGCAATACCAGTCTTTCTTATATGTCTCATAAATATTGCAATAGACATATTTGAAGCCCAAAATAGAAACTATTAGCATTAATAATTCTTTTCTCTCTCTCCAGACACACACCAATAGAGGCACTTTTAATGCTTCTCATATAAGTTAAATTATCCAATTTCTGGAACTTGTAAAGAACAACATTTTTTAATGCTGTAGAAAATGACTGAAAATCTAGCTTAATATAACTTCTATGAATATAACTATTCAAATAACTAGTAAAAGGGTGAAGACTGGATCTAAACCTGGAAAATAGGCAAAGTAATAATGATAAATACTTAAATATTGATCTCTCTTAACAATCCAAATATTGTTGAATCCTTTTACTGCATTTATTCATATAAATAAAAGTATGTTAGTTATTGTTAGAAGTTACTTTCCATTATAACATAACAAGCCCTGTTGTACGCCCCTCCCCTCCTCCCAACTAACTTCTATTATTTTATCTAAAGGCTGCAATATGTCCACCATTACGAATATTATTGTTAATTGACTAGTGAGAAATACAAATCAATTGTACCAATATTGGTATCTTCTCATCTACTTTAAAAATCATATAACTCTAAAGTCAAAATTTCTTCCTTAGAAGCATTTGAAGTTTTAAATACTGTTAGTTTCTTGGCCTTAGAAACTTAGATACAACATTCTACTAGTTAAAATTTTACATCATTTCAATAATTATTAGATTTTTTCCCTACCATTCGATTTAAATTTATCAGAAAAAAGTGAAAATCAAATGATTATCCATTACCAGATCAGATTTGTTTTGTATTGTTTAATAAAACACATCTGAAACAAATTCATAAAAAGGTTTATAGGAAATCTAATGTAAGATGTAAGTGGGAAAAAAATTAATTCAGTAAAATAAAAGAAGTGTAAACATTAAAATATAGTTTAAAAAATTATATCTTGCAATGATATTTGGAAAGTGTATTGAAATTTACATTATTTTATTAAGTATAATTCATTTTTCTTCCAGCAACAAAAGAAGAATGCAGTAAAATCATGGGTTTTGAAAATCAGTCTAAACCTGTTATTAAAGAGGCTGTAGTCAACGATATAGAAAAGGTAATTTTCTCCCTTTTTATTATTATTTATTTTATTCTTTTCATATTATCTAACTCTAATTTCTTCATCATATTCAGAAGTTAGCTGATAGGCGTGCTGCAGCTGGGCGTAGTGATAAAATTGAAAATATGAGTCCTGAAGAAGTGATAGAAGAAAAGTGTGTTATGCAAAAGGCTCTACTTGGCCTTGAAGCAGCTTATGGAAGACCTGAGTCCAAGGAGGAACGTGAACTTGTTCGTGGGTTATATGATCGCTACAGAACTCTTAAAAGGACTCTTCTCCGACATGCCCCTGTAAGAAAACATTTATTTTCAATTTTTATTACAAAAAAAAATAACAATAAAATTTCAATAGTGATCTGAAGCTAATCAATTACTAAAATTAATTTTAAAAAAAATGGAAGATATTTATTACATAACATCCAAAAGGTTTTCGAGGCCCTTTACGATCTTCAGAAATTGATTATTTTATTAATTACGCTTAGAGGAAAAAAAAATTCAAATGTTCTACAAATTCAAAATTTATAGAATACTTTATTAAAAAAAAAAAATCTTCCAACTAGGGTCATTACATATCAATTTATCATTTGGAAACAAAATGTTCAGAAGAATGTGACAGATTTAAGTGAAAGATGTAAATGAAATTTGATAAAATCGATATTGGCCCATCCAAGTATCAAAGCCCAATCCCAGAAAATTTCATCTAATTGAATTAATGGCAGTAGGTGGTATTCCCTAGCAACAGAATACAGCTTAAAATCTTATAACTATTTATTACAATAATATAAATATAAGATTATTCTTCCACCAATCCCTAACTTCCCTCCAACATTGGGCCAAGTTTACAGTTGAATCTGCACATTTTCAGATAGAAGCATACGGTTGATTGGTTGGTTGTTTTGATGTTATAGGCACAAAAGTTCTAGGCCATTAGGGCCTTATCCATAATAAAAAAATAGAATAAGAAAAAAGAAAGTGAAAATAATAGATAAAAAATATATACATATAAAATAAAAAATGAGAAAAAATTAATAAGAGATTATAACAATAAAAAAATAAATAAATAATATAAGGGGAAAAAAGTAATATATATATATATATATATATATATATATATATATATATATATATATATATATATGCTAGCTTTACCCGGCCACAGGGTGCTGTGGCTTAGCCTAGCAAAATGGAAAAGAAAGAAAATAGAAAGCACAGATGAGTGGATTAACACCAAAGGACATCTGTCATTTTTAAAAAGTTGGAAAAAAAAAAATTAGTCTGTAAAATTGCTTCAATTAAAACTAATTCTAATGATTTTTTTTTTTTTTCATGATTCAACTTGAACATTCGTAATCATCTGAGTGAATACACATTCTTAATGTATTGTTTAATGTTCAACTTTGTGTTGGTCATTTTACGGCAAATAAAAATGTAAATTTTTTATTGTTTAAACTCTTAAATAAAAGGAAGTTCTTCACCCATTGCCTTGAAATTTTGCTTCAAATACGGGCGTGGTTTAGTATATCTATTATTATAAAATATAAGGTGAAACTATACATATTTATTAAAAAAGCACCATCAGTTGGATGTAAAAGCAAACACATGCGGTTAAAAATATTTCAGGATACTGTTTCAATGTTAAAGATTTGCAAATATCAATCGTGGCAATGCATTGAAATTGCTCTATACTATTTATCATGGCGTTCATTTTGTGTTCATTAGAGCTGCCTTCCACCTTCCTCAAAAGATTTCGTCTACCCCTCCTAAGATGCTTGTTTCTTCTTAATAACAACTTGATTAAATATAGAGTTGTACAAATTGTAGTGGAAAAATAAACCATACTCATGAAAGTAAACGGCACAACCTTATTCCAACATAATGTTAGAGAAAAGAATTTATTAAATAATAAAATAAGCTGAAATCAATAAAAAACTGATTTCTAAAAGGAACATAAATGGTGATAAGTATTACTTAAGAGTTAAATCTTTTTAAATAATAGCAAATCAAATATTTGAAATGTACCATACTACTTCCAGAATACATTGGGAAGAAAATAAAAAATGAATATAAAGAGCGTATAATAGTATTGACCTACAAAAGGAGAATCATATCACTTCTTCAAATGATGATTTCAATTGCTGTAGTAATTATAACATTTTCGATTAATAAATAACAAAAAAAAAAGGAAATGGTCTTTTCTGAAGAGAAAGCAGTAAATGTTTAAAACTCTATAACCCTGCAACGAATCGTCCAATTTCGATGATTTTTTTTTTATATTTTATCGACATTTCAGGAATCTTTCAAATAAATATGGATATTATCAATCAAAAATTGTGTACTTTTTAGTTATTGGCAAATAAAATATTGAATTCATTGTAACATTTTTGCAGCTTGTTTTCGGGAAAGTATGTCATACACATAAATTAAAAGGGTTTCAAGGGGAAGACTTTAGCCAAGTTCCGTTAAAATCGTTAAAGCCGTTTTGGTGCTACAGTTTATAGCGACACATTTTTTTGCAGCTTTGAACAAAAAAACATTTACATTTTTATTTTTTTTTTTACGTATATAAAATTATGGTAAGACAGAAGTACTATGCCAGAAACCTTTCCAGAAGTGTATAGAAAAATTTCCCAAAGTTTCATGGCGATCGGATAAATGGTTTAGTAATGCATAAAGGACAAACTGACAGAGACATACATTCATTTATATATATATATCTGTAGATGAGAAGACAAAGATACAGGTGTTAATCTGGTTGCTATCATTACCAATTCACTGTCTATTGGAATCTTTTTCCCTACCGTTCGCTAAATAATTCATAACTCCTCAGGAATTCAATGAATCAATAATCTTTGGAAAGCTGAGATGTAGCTCTTCAAAATCATATCAAAAACTTTTAGATTTAACGCCTTCGTGAGGAATAAATATAGAAAATCTCTTAATGCGTTTTTATTTTTTATGGTTTGTTGCAATTTATGCAGTTTGCATGATCCTAAATCTCTGCTTATTTTCGTGTTCATATAATTATGAAATCTATTCATACTTCCTAAATGAATTAAGTCCGTTTAAAGACTTATAATATTTTTGGTTTTAGTCAAAGGTGAAGGAGAGTGTTTCTGAATTAGGAACTATACTTGAACATGAAGCAATGGAATTCAACCCAGCCCAGCCTAGGGCTACAACACCTGCAGCTACAGCTTCTTCTGACACTCTAGAAGATTCACCTTCTGAGTCACTCCTAGCTGATCTTCATGCTCTTCCTCCGTAAGTATTCAGTTTATTTTTCTTAGTTTCGTCATTAGTTTGAATTTAGTTAGATAAATTTTAGAATCATGGTATCACTAGTTTGGTAGAAGACTGTCAAATTGATTTAAGACATTTATGAGCGACAAGAATTAATATAGAGTAATACCTCTGTGACTCTTATCAGTTGGCCAGTTTGCCTTCCCCAGTCAGGCACTCATTGCTAAGAGAAGAGACCTGAAGAATATATTTATGCTGGTCATAGAGCTGTAAAACCATCAAATACTAATTGCCAGGCAATTTTTGCAAATTTATTAAATCTCAATAACAAGTCTGACAAAACAGATATTTATATTACAAACTTATTTTGGGAACAGGGTGGCTGAGTGGGCCAATGTGTTTACCTGATAACTTGAACATTAAGGTGCCGGGTGCATTTAACTCTAGCATTTATCCTCCACCCTCCTCTCTGGCTCAGAAAATCACTGTATAGCCAAAAAGGCAAGGTAGGGGAGGGGGAAAAAAAAAACAACAACTTATTTATATTAAAGTTACATTTTTATTTTATGTACACAAGAACTTTATTTTTGTTATCAGAATATTTATATTATTTTTAATGAACATTATAACTTTTTAATTTATAGTAAAAAAAAAGGAAAATTTAAATTGATATTTGTTTTAATGGAGAAACTTTATATTTACATAAAAAAGAAAAAGAAAAAAAGGCAGATTGATTTAATGTTTTTGGAATATCCGTGAATAATAGTTAATTTGATTTTCATACATAATTTTACATAAAATAACAATAAATTTATTAGTTCCAATTTAAACTTATAATTTACTGTTTTCTAATGTTTTCACATGACTTCTTTCCTGTCTGTTCATCAGTGAAGAACTACAGATTTTGTGCTTTTTTAGTCACCAACATTTATACTACTATAATAGGGCTGGTCTTAGATTTTCTTCCTCTGACTTAACTGAACTATGTTTACCTTGTTGAAGGATCACCCGACTAAAGCAAAAACTCTTTTCCGCTGAAGACCATATAAAGAAAATATTTCATTTTTATTTTATGTTACAAACATTTGTTTTTATAAACTTTTATCCCTGTGAGATAAATAAATATCCAACCTGACTATACATCAAATTTTATTATTTATAATTTAATTTAAATTCAAAAATACTTCAATATTTTACTTTATCAACCCTATATTTTTACTAAAAACTATATAAAATTACTAAGACTGTCAATCTAAATTTCTACTAAACCTTTATATAATTTACCATTAATTCATTATTTATATCCATAGAAAATCCACTCATGTGTTCTAGTCTTTCTGAGTGTATGTGAGGACCAATTATAAATGGATAAGAATAATTTATCTACTTACTTAGAATTCCATCTATGAATATATTTATCTATTTAATCTAATTTATCTATTTTAAAGCTAAATTTTAAAAAATTATGAAATAGATAGCATAGAAAATATAATTGTTTATAAAAAAGGTTAGATCTTTTGTATTCAGTCTATCCTGGCTTGGGTTGATTAAAAAAAAATTGTTAGTACTAATTAAATAAATACTCCTATAAAAATTATCTCTTTAAAATAATAACTTTTTCCATTAATTTGTTATTTCAGGCATCAGTTATTAGAGCTGGCCAAGACTACAAGGGAAGAGAAAAAACGTCTTAGACGAAACCTCCGAGAATATGAACAAGAATTTCAAGCAAAGACTGGCAGAAAGCCTCAAAAAGAAGATAGGCAATCATTGGACACCCTTTATCTTGAATACAAAAATGCTAAAGCCAAACTGCGGTTCATCGATGCACTTGTCGCCAAATTAAAATAAATGTTTTATCTTATTAATTTTGAATGCATTTCTAACATTTATAAACAATTTGTGAAGTTCTATATATTTTTTAATTAAATGACAAGACTTAAGTCATGTTTAAATAACAGAAGTGTTAATTTTGATAATTCATTTCAAGTGAATGATCATCATTGTCTCAAGACATTTTTAATCAGTGAAATGAACTGCTATTTGTTTTTTTGTTTTTTTAATGAAGATTATATGAACTATTTTTTGTGTAAGTAACATGTATTTTTATTTTTCTCATAATGAACCGTAATTATATATTTTATTTATGTATTATAATAGTTCCTTTTTTATTTACAAATGATCTGTATAGTAGGTCTGTTATATATTTATTTTATAATTTATTTGTATCCATAATATTTAATAATTATTTAAAGATTTTATGATTATTAACAATATTTATTAATACAACCTAAAATCCAAGGTTTTAAAATAGTTTGATTGCCAAAGTAGGTGTCTTGGGTTTTTTAAAAAATTTTCTAAGGCCAATCCTCTCACAAAGAGAAAACCCATATTATTGAGCATTTTAATGACTTTAATGTCATTAATTTGCATAGTTCATGTTTCTTTAGCATTATAAATTTGTCTATTGAATATTTTTATACAAGTAGATATTTCTAAGTTCAATATATAGTTCTGCATTATTTAATTTCTGTTTATTGAAAAAAAAAAAACGTGTGCTTCTATAAGAAACAATATGTTTTTTAGTGTTGTGACTGATAACATCAATGCAGTTCTAACATTTCATGAAATGATAAATGTATGTTTTAATGTTTAAGTCAGTATTTTTTTTTTAATTTTTATTTTAATTTCATTTCATATATGTCTAATGATTTTTTTTTTTTACATTATACAGTAGGCTCTCCTTTTGCTGCCATTGCCATGAATAAACAAAATATCAAGATACAAATATTCTTTAACTAACTAATTATAAAGTGCAAGGGCATAAAATGTGAGTTTTAGGAGTATTTTTTGATAATTACTGCATAATTTTATTTTTATTGTAAATATTGAAACTCAGTAACTGTAATGTTATCCTACTGATATAAAATAATTATATAACACTCTCCATAAGTTATGGCTTGAGTGTGACTTCTTTAAATAAATTTTAAATTCTGTAGCTAGTTTTGGACTATTGGATTATATCACTTTTATTCCAAATGAAGAATTTTGAAAGTTTGTGGAGTTTTTTAATCACTAAAGTGTTGAGTGTTTTTTTTTTTTTTATTTGTGTTCTTACACCACTTCCATTGCCATCAGCTCATGCTTTTTTTTATGCCTCTATACTTGCTGTCTTGATTTTATAGGTTAGATTTTTATTTAACAGTGCTATTAAAATATTATTTAAAAAAAATAAATATGGTTATTTTCCTACTGGTAGTTCCAGAAAAAAAAAAGAAAAAGCCAGACAAAAGAGAGTTTACTGATGTATACCAAAGAACAATTGATTTGATAATAATTTCCATAGTTGAAAATTTTGGATTTATTAATTTCCATTTATGTTATGATTGGCTGTAATACTAGTTTCGGAACATATCGAATACTGATATTAGAACATACGAAACTTGATCTTGAATTACTAAACATTTACTTTGAATGATTGATTTAACTTTTCTGCCCTAATAATTCACGGCTGTAATTTTTTGGTAGATTGTAAAATTTGTGTGCTGTGAGCATTCAATTTTTATTTATGTCCATCAGTGGCGTTCACATTTAAAAGTATTTGTTTGGATTCTTAATGGATTAGCTTAGATTATTGGGTTATGTTGATATGAAATATTTTCTTTTTTTTTTGTTGTTAATTATTGAATAATGTTTTAACTTTTATATATGAACTTGGAAATCTTATATGATTTTCCAGTAGCTATTTGACTTGACTCCACTGAAGAAATATTTATTGTAAGTGTTGATGTGTTCACTGCTAAAACTTTCTCCTAATCTACACCTCTCTTTTTGTATGATTATGAGGAGTTCTAAATACATAATTGAGAAAAGTAAGTAATAAAAATGAATTGGATGTTATTAAGTCAACTACTTAAAAGTTTTATCTCCTTTTTTATTTCAAAATTTTTGATAATAATATGGAGAACTTGTCACTACAGTGCTCTCATAAAATAATTAATCATTTTCAAATGTATAAATGAGAACCATGAATATTATTATTGGTTCTATACAATGGATAATTTTTATAAAAATAAAAATTAGAACTAAAAATGATCCATTTCATATATTAAAAGAAAAGAGAAGATAAAAGTTTAATTAGTAAGTTAGATCTGTTATTGTCTCGGATGTGAATCAGAGAAACTAATTGCTTGTAACAAAAAAAAAAAAAAAATGAATGCTGGAATAGTTATTGTTTATATTAAATTTTAAATTACTTGTACAATTTATGACAAGTAGTAATGTTTGTTTATGTTATTGCCTGATATGAAATAACTAATTAGTTGTACATTGCCAATGGGTACTTTTGACCAAAGTAATTGTTTCAGTTTTTTTTATTTAAATAGTATATATCTTATTGTATAATGCTTCCAAGAAATGTCTGTTGATACCACTTCTGGAATTACTGTTCTAAGCAGGAAATTCATGATCAATTTACCTTAGAAACTGACTTGGAATTTTTACTGGCAAGGTTAAACTTTTAAATATATTTTGTGCATCTATAATTTGTCACTATGAGCATTACATTTGTTTTGTTCAACAGGCATTCGGAATTGGAATTAAATGATCTAGTCTTAGCATTTTTTTTATTGTTTTTAAAAATAAATAATTAAATATGGTTAATCTTTAATTTTCATTGTTGATACTTTTTAAGTTTATGTTTTGTTGTCATAAAAAAAGAAATAAAAAAAAAACGTTTAATACAAAATCCATTTAATAATTTATATTTGTATAAAACAGAAAAAGAGATACCCTCTGAATAAATTAGTTGTATGAGATTAACAGGATGTATAAAATACACCAATTTATATGTTTTAAATACACAGTTTATATGTGTTGGCATACTAAAGAATATATAGATGAAAGTACATTTTAAAAATAAAATATTAATTAATGAAATTTTAGCTTTCAGTTTTACTAGACTGATTATTTTAAAAAATATTAATCATTATGCAATGTGCTAATATAAGTACATACATATTTTGTATAATATTTATATCTCTGATATGTATGTTCTTGCGTTTTGTACTTTGGAATGTATAAACAATGTACTACTGACAGTGGGCTGTTATTAATATTAATAGAAAAAAAATATTGAAAGATTTTATTGGGGTTGTTGGAATTGGAACTCTCTCGTCCTTATTGTTCCATTAAAAATTTTATTGTATATTACATTATACTGTTATTCGACCAGTTTATACAATAATGTAAATGAATGCACATTTAAACTGTTATATGCTGTTTTTTTTATAATGTGTATATGTGTATTTATTTTATTAAGCTACATTCTGATAATAGTTTTTATTAGTATTTATGAGTAATGACACTATCAAAACATATAATGAATAAATATTACAGATTTATTTAAATAAAGTTTTATTTATATATCTTATAATTTCTTCTCAAATATCCTTTTCATACAAAAGCAGTGATTCATATGTTATGTACCTGCTTCTTTATTTATCTTTGGAATATAAAATGTACCAAAACCATATTTTTTCTGTCTTTTCAAAAATATTAAAAATTAAGTCTTATTAAATATTTTGGAAGCAGTTCTTCAATATAGTTTATTGGTAAAACTTTTTTTTTTCTTCTTAGCTCCTCCTATGTTGTGTTATTAAAGTTGGTATAACTTGTTATTTATTGGATAAAATCCCTTTACTGGACAGATGGTGTGCATTATAAGAAAGTTTTGAGGAGTTGAAATTTATATGTGACGAATCAATATTCTAGTGATAGAGCTTACTAGTTGTCTTGTGTCAGTCCAATTAGTCAGTAGTCTTCAAAATATTCCAAGTAGACATATATGTCAATTTCTGTTCATTTGGTGGGAATGGTGGTTAGTTCATGATATATCTTAGCTTTGTACTTTACTCTGTGGGTCAGACTGCCCTACCGTGCACTCCCTCCCCCTAACATCCCTATAAATTTCATATCGTTGTGTTTCTAGTAACTATTTATTTTAAAATACAGCCATTATTTTAAAGCCAATGTTCTTACAAAAAAAAGTGAACGAACTGTTCCAAAATGGTGTCTAAATGTGGTGGACTGATGACTTTGACTTTTGTTAGTTTTTTGGTCTCTCAGAATCAATATTTGGCTTAATTTCATCATAGTTGGTCTTTTATTAAAGCTGGATAATCAGAGAATAATAAAACATGAAAAAATAATTGGCTTAGGCTATGAAAAACACCAGTAAAGTCGTTTTTTAACAAAAAAAAATTTCAAGTTGAAAATCAAGTGTCAACGGCCTACAATAACACAAAACGTGCTGAAATAAAATATCTAGAAAATATATTTCTCTTTTCAAAACACTGGTTACTTTTTGAAATATTTGAAGCAGTTCTGTATAAAATGCACTTAAGTTGCAGAAAAGGGTACTAGCGTGGGTGGCTAGACCTCTACCACACCATTCAGTACTCATAAATGGCTTAGTTATAGTGCTATAATAACGTTTTTGTACATTATATTGATAGTATTAATGAACAAATATTAATGCAATAATTTAACTGTCCATAAACATTTAAAAAAATAATGTTTTTAATTTATTAGTTTTTTTTTTTTTATTTAACTTCCTCCTTTATTCTATACGGAAGTCATTTAAGAAGGCCTCTTTTGTAAAAATGTTATAATTATAATAATACAACTAAATTCAAAAATACTTTGCTGAATATCTTGATTTATTTATTTAACATTTGAATTCCACACATTTGATTTGTATATTTACTGATTCTTAGACGTAATTTAAATTCTATATACTTCTCCGGAAATGAGTCATTAATACCTGTTTTATAAACTAAAATAAGATTTACCTAATCTGAACTACATATAATGAATAGTTGATGGGTTGTTCAGTAAAATTCACATACCACCAATAAAAAAAATAATTTTTATTTCCTTTATGTTGTAAGGAAGTTGGGCCATAACATAAAAAAATAGGAAATTTTAATATTAAATGCATTATTATCTCTACACAAAAAAAAGATGGAATGGGCAACGCTATAAGTTCTTCCAGGTAACCGGAAATGATTGTTAGTAATTTGTCTCAAAATGAGGGATATTTCAGGTTACCTGGAAGAACTTATAGCTTCTTCCTTTCCATCTTTTTTTGTGTAGAGAGAATAATGTATTCAATATTAAAATTTCCTATTTTTTTTATGTTATGATCCAACTTCCGAAAATAATAAAGGAAATAAAAATTATGAGAAGGGGTTAGTCGAGGGTGCGATCAAATAAATAAAAAATTAAAATATATTAATTATTTTCATTTTTGCCGATGTTTCGACCCACTTTGCAGGTCGTCTTCAGGGCGTGGGATGTGGCACTGCGGGAGGCAGTTGAAACACTGGAAATAATGGTATGGGAAATAAAAATTAATTTTTTTATTGGTGGTATGTGAGTTTTACTGAACAACCCATCAACTATTCATTATATGTAGTTCAGATTAGGTAAATCTTATTTTGGTTTATAAAACAGGTATTAATGATTCATTTCCGGAGAAGTATATAAAATTTAAATTACCTCTAAGAATCAGTAAATATACAAAACAAAGTGTTGAATTGCAAATGTTAAATAAAAAATTCAAGATATTCAGCAAAGTATTTTTGAATTTAGTTTTATTATTATATTTATACCATTTTTACAACATAGGCCTTCTTAAATGACCTACTTATCGAATAAAGGAAGTTAAATTTTTAAAAATAAATAAATAATAAATTTAAAAATGTTTTTGGACAATTAAATTATTATATTAATATCTGTTTGTTAATATAATCAATATAATGTACCAAA